TCAATCAGTGTTGCTTCCTAAGTGGACAGTTTGATTTCACAAAAGTGTGATTGACTTGGAGTTACATTGTGTTGTTTAAGTGTTCCCTTTATATTTTTGAGCAGTGTATAAATCATTTCCAAACCAGACGGCACCATTTGTATTTTTATTGATGGATAGCCAGGGGCACATTCCAACACTCAGACATAATTTACAAACGAAGCATTCGTGTTTAGTGAGTCCGCCAGATCAGAGGCAGTAGGGATGACCAGGGATGTTCTCTTGATAAGTGTGTGAATTTGACAATTTTCCTGTCAAAATGTAACGAGTACTTTTGGGTGTCAGGGAAAATGTATGGAGTAAAAAGTACATTATCTTTTTTAGGAATGTAGTGAAGTAAAAGTTGGCAAAAATATAAATAGTAAAGGACCCCCAAAAATACAATATATATTTATTAGTACCAGTCAAAAGTTTGGACACACCTACTCATTCAAGTTTTTTTTTTATTTGTACTATTTTCTACATTGTATAATAATAGTGAAGACATCAAAACTATGAAATAACACATATGGAATCATGTAGTAACCAAAAAAAAGTGTTAAACAAATCAAAATATATTTGAGATTCTTCAAATAGCCACCCTTTGCCTTGATGACAGCTTTGCACACTCTTGGCATTCTCCCAACCAGCTTCACCTGGAATGCTTTTCCAACAGTCTTGAAGGAGTTCCCTCATATGCTGAGCACTTGTTGGCGGCTTTTCCTTCATCCCAAACCATCTTAATTGGGTTGAGGTCGGAGGATTGTGGAGGCCAGGTCATCTGATGCAGCACTCCATCACTCTCCTTCTTGGTAAAATAGCCCTTACACAGCCTGGAGGTGTGTTGGGTCATTGTCCTGTTGAAAAACAAATGATAGTCCCACTAAGCCCAAACTAGATGGGATGGCGTATCGCTGCAGAATGCTGTGGTAGACATGCTGGTTAAGTGTGCCTTGAATTCTAAATAAATCACAGACCGTGTCAGGAGCAAAGCACCCCCACACCATAACACCTCCTCCTCCATGCTTTACGGTGGGAACTACACATGCGGAGATCATCCGTTCACCCACACGCGTCTCACAAAGACACGGCAGTTGGAACCAGAAATCTCCAATTTGGACTCCAGCTCAAAGGACAAATTTCCACTGGCCTAATGTCCATTGCTTGTGTTTCTTGGCCCAAGCTCTTCTTGTTACTGGTGTTCTTTAGTAGTGGTTTCTTTGCAGCAATTCGGCCATGAAGGCCTGATTCACACAGTCCCCTCTGAACAGTTGATGTTGAGATGTGTCTGTGACTTGAACTCTGAAGCATTTATTTGGGCTTCAATTTCTGATGCTGGTAACTCTAATGAACTTATCCTCTGCAGCAGAGGTAACTCTGGGTCTTCCATTCCTGTGGCGGTCCTCATGAGAGCCAGTTTCATCATAGCGCTTGATGGTTTTTGCGACTGCACTTGAAGAAACTTTCAAAGTTCTTGAAATGTTCGGTATTGACTGACCTTCATGTCTTAAAGTAATGATGGACTGTCGTTTCTCTTTGCTTATTTGAGCTGTTCTGGCCATAATATGGACTTGGTATTTTACCAAATATGGCTATCTTCTGTATGCCCCCCTACCTTGTCACAACACAACTGATTGGCTCAAATGCATTAAGAAGGAAAGAAATTCCACAAATTAACTTTTAAGAAGGCACACCTGTTAATTGAAATGCATTCCAGGTGACTACCTCATGAAGCTGGTTGAGAGAATGCCAAGTGTGTGCAAAGCTGTCATCAAGGCAAAGGGTGGCTACTTTGAAGAATCTCAAATATAAAATATATTTTGATTTGTTTAACACTTTTTGGTTACTACATGATTCCATATGTGTTATTTCATAGTTTTGATGTCTTCACTATTATTCTAGAATGTACAAAATAGTAAAAATAAAGAAAAACCCTTGAATGAGTAGGTGTGTCCATACTTTTGACTGGTAGTGTATATATATTTTTTCAAGAATTTGAAAATGTGTTTGGACAATTATGATTCCTGATTATTATTTGAAACAGACATTATGCAATTAATTAATTTGCACGTGCACCATAGCTAAACTACTTGTGTTGCGTATTCATGCAAATATTTCGCATTCACATATGCTTATTTATAGGTGATTTATTCAACCATCACTTTTTATTTAAAAATAATAATAACAACTTTAGAAATAACTTTTATTAACTTGCCTAGGTTTCTTCATCATGTTGTTGTAACAATCTTCTTAGATGGTAGTTTCGCTTCACTCCCATCAATCTCAAAGGCAACCATGCTCGTCGTCACTTTACTCCGGCGGGTCCGCTTGTTCAGGTTCATCTCGGTCTGTGTGTTTTACATGTTTACTTTTCTCTTTTCTATATTGGAGTCATAAAAAAAAAAAAATAGTAGAACAAAACAGCAAAGTCTTTAAGACAAAGTGGGCTTTTCTTCACCGATTTTCTTATTGCAACTTGATGCTCGTTTTCTTGCTAGATTAATTTCCCCTTTGTTCCATTCACTCTTTTGTATTCGATAGAATGGGATATGCTTGTCTCGTGAAGAACAACGAGGGCCAATCTCTCCGATGACGTAAATCAAGGGTACCCATTGACGTAGGTGGAATCCCTGCACGTGACATAGATCTCTCGATCTCCGGGACATCCAAAAGACGAAAAAGAAGGCAAGTTAAAAAAATTTTTTTGCGGAAGAATAGCCTATTGTTGTGTCTGATGTCTGTAGCAAGATAGGGCAACATCATCGCTTTCAAGTTTTATGCCACTTTCTTTTGCCTACACTTTCTCATCGTCTCTAGGCTTAAACATAAATAGCTAAATAAAAATATGTAAATAAATAGATATCTTGAATGTTGAGCTTTTCAGTCATGCTTTTTAGTGTTATGTTAGAGTTGCTATAAATACTTTAGTTTATTTATTTTGCCAATGTAACTGAGTGGTGAGGAAAACATTTTTGTAGGCCTAGTCTATGGAGTTAATGTTTAAATCCACATTGAATAACTCCATTATTTGAGTTTGAATCATAACTGTAATTTAAGGCTACAAGAAGATTTTCCTTCCTTGAAGATACCTTAATTAAGGAAGAAGTACAGTTTTTCGAAAACATTTACCTGGCTTCCTCTGACCTAAACCAAAGTTACATTAAACTAAATGAACAAATTTATTTATTAACAGACATACAAATACATGAATAAATAGAGTAATCAATTGGTTAAAGGTAGCCAAGTGCATCTTGACCTTGGTTACCTACAGTGCCATCTAGTAAGAACATATAACTGTCTAATAACTTTCATCAGCAGTGCAGCATCCATAGTGAAACATGATAAGGACAGTGGTGACCGAATCCTTCCAACGGCATGGAGGAATTCACGTATGCTCTCCAGTATCTTCTCCAATATCCCTCCTCACGGTTGCCAAAAGCAGGAGTGGCAAGACGGGGAAGAGAGGGGAGAGGGGTTATTGGGGGAAAGAGGGAAGAATTTAACAATCGATCAAACAGTAAGTAAAATATATAATATCTATTGATTTAGATGTGGTACCTGAAATTAATCAACCTATTGACATATGTTTATAGGTTCTCTTGACAGCAGCTTGGGAAAAGGCAAAGCTCTAAATGTGCTGAGTGGCTGTTTAGCCACACCCTCATCATAACGTGTATGGGGTTTATTTCGATATGGGCACATGGCAAACAACTGGTGCTCAACATCATGGCTGTATATCACTCTAATCAGTCAACAAGTGGGGGAGTCACACATAAGAGCCCAACATAGTGCAGCGTGTGATTGATGAGTGTGCTTGCCTTGAACGCAGTGCCTTTTGGGCACTACATCAAATATCTCGCCAGTGATGTCTGATAGCCAGACACTATTCACACACTTTTATATGATATTTGCATTAAAGCGGGCATGAATGTATTGTGATAAAAGTAAAAAAAATGTGATACCTTTTCTGTATAGTGTTCCAAATGCATGGGTAGCATGCCTAGTGCTATAACTAATTTGTCTTTGAGTGTTTGATGTCTTGCACCATGAGACATACCCAGCAGCTGCTTGGAGCAGGCAGTACTAGAGACGGCCTGTGTGTCTGGCCAACGGCACCAAGGGTCCATATCAGTGTGTCTGTGGCTGTGAATGGGCATGTGAGACGAGGGACTCGACTTACAGGGGCCCTGTCTCTAGGCACAACTATGGGCACAGAGAGGAGTGAGAGAAAGTCAGTGTGGGAGATAGGTGGAGAGACAGAGGAAGGGAGTTAGGGGTGGGCAGATAGAGAGGGAGAACATGGGGAAAGGGGGTGGAGGGAGCAGAAAAAGAGAGAGATTGGGAGGGATAGGTTCTGGTAGCGAACTTCTCAATGTGCCGTCCCACCCGCCCCTTGCCCCGCTCCCTAGACTATATCAGGCTAGCATGGGGTGTGAAGAGTTTAACTTATTTCAGTAAGTCGGGCAGATGTTATAGAATTGATAGTGTTGTGTTTATTCTGCAGCAACTTGAGAGCTCTATTCAGCCTTCCACCACCATCATTATTCTGCCCCCTCAGGTGAAAGGCATTAATACCTGGGTTATGACAGTTAAAATCCAGGCTCTGCAATTGGTAATGGTGCATTTGGGTAAATAATTGAATTTAGTCAAAACTCATTAACTATTATCCCTTGACCAAAGCAAGTAATCTGTATTTTAATCTATAGAGAATTCACAAATGCCCATTCAAAAATCGATGGTACACAATAAAAAACTCATACAGTGTATCAATAAGTGAAGCTGACCAGGTGGGTAAAATCAGCTTTGATCCAACTGAATAGTGTCCATTGAACAGTTTTCCCCTTTGACTGTGACAGGGGATTTGTACATTTCTTGTTGTATTTTTTGACTGGATGCTTCCTTCAGCTTTAGCGTTATTACATGCACTGCAAGATGTCAATACAGGCCAATGGCCTTCCATTTGGCTGTTCCAAATATTTTTGCTAGAACTTGACATGTTCTGCAGTATTTGTCTCGTCTTTGAAGGATGAGCACTTCAAACCATGACTTTTGAAGTGAAGCCTGTAGCAAGCCATGGACCAAGAGAGAATTTCACAAGTTGTCCTAGAAATATTTATTCCCAAAATTACACAACCTGATAATCCCAAATTCCCAACACAAAAAATGTTCCGTCAGTACGATTGTAAAAATTCAGTGAGAGTTTGAGGAGTCAAGGGGCCCCAAGTGAGCGGAGCACATTGATTCAGATCACGTTACTCGTCACATACTTCTCTTTTTGGTAGAGTATACTATGTACTCCCACGGGGGGCCATTATGAAAAATGTATGCACTCACTAATTGGAAGTCGCTCTGGATAAGAGCGTCTGCTAAATGACTAAAATGTAAATGTAAATGTACTCTACGGTACACATGTAGACACACATACGCTACGTATGGAGATCATCCCAGTTTCATATGACCTTTAGAAGGGTGGACTGTGTATTTCTAGATTAACGGCCCAGGCTACGTCAGGGTATCAGACCAGTCCTAAGGGTTCTCGTTACGGCATCCCTCCTTAATGACTCAATTAACACTCATTTGCTCATTAAGACTAAACAGTGTTGTTACTAAATAGTGCAATGCAAAGACACAAATCTCCAATTGGCGAGGCTATTTTAGGTGACATGGGTAATAGAACTGTTATATTTCGGCCTATTTTGTCCATTCACACGCAGCGCTACTTTGGAACACATCTCCTAGCTACACTGAACAAAAATATAAACGCAACAATTTCAAAGACTTTACTGAGTTACAGTTCATATAAGGAAATCAGCCAATTGAAATAAATTCATTAGTCCCTAATCTATTTCACATGACTGGGAATACAGAAATGCATCTGCTGGTCACAGATACCTTTTAAAAAAGATAGTGGCTTGGATCCGATCACCAATCTGATGTGACCACCATTTGCGTCACCACATTGCACAGATAAAATGCACAAGCATGAAAATCTTTCAAATATACAGTGCATTTGGAAAGTATTCAGACCCCTTGACTTTTTCCACATTTTGTTACGTTACAGCCTTATTCTAAAATGGATTAAATCATTTTTCCCCTCATCAATCTACACACAATAGCCCATAATGACAAAGCAAAAACAAGTTTATAGAAGAAAAAAAACCGGAAATATCACGTTTACATAAGTATTCAGACCCTTTACTCAGTACTTTGTTGAAGCACCTTTGGCAGCGATTACAGCATCGAGTCGTCTTGGGTATGACGCTACAAGCTTGGCACACCTGTATTTGGGGAGTTTCTCCCATTCTTCTCTGCAGATCCTCTCAAGCTCTGTCAGGTTGGATGGGGAACGTCACTGCACAGCTATTTTCAGGTCTCTCCAGAGATGTTAGATCGGGTTCAAGTCCGGGCTCTGGCTGGGCCACTCCAGGACATTCAGAGACTTGTCCCGAAGCCAATCCTGCATTGTCTTGGCTGTGTGCTTAGGGTCATTGTCCTGTTGGAAGGTGAACCTTCGCCCCCAGTCTGAGGTCTGAGTGTTCTGGAGCAGGTTTTCATCAAGGATCTCTCTGTACTTTGCTCTGTTCATCTTTCCCTCGATCCTGACTAGTCTCCCAGTCCCTGCAGCTGAAAAACATCCCCACAGGATGATGCTGCCACCACCATGCTTCACCGTAGGGATGGTGCCAGGTTTCCTCCAGACGTGATGCTTGGCATTCAGGCCAAAGAGTTCCATTTTGGTTTCATCAGACCAGAGAATCTTGTTTCTTATGGTCAGAGTCCTTTAGGTGCCTTTTGGCAAATTCCAAGTGGGCTGTCATGTGCCTTTTACTGAGGAGTGGCTTCCGTCTGGCCACTCTACCATAAAGGCCTGATTGGTGGAGTGCTGCAGAGATGGTTGTCCTTCTGGAAGGTTCTCCCATTTCCACAGAGTAACTCTGGGGCTCTGTCAGAGTGCCCATTGGGTTCTTGGTCACCTCCCTAACCAAGGCCCTTCTCCCCTGATTGTGCAGTTTGGCCAGGCGGCCAGCTCTAGGAAGAGTCTTGGTGGTTCCAAACTTCTTCCATTTAAGAATGATGGAGGCCACTGTGTTTTTGGAGACCTTCAATGCTGCAGAAATTTTTTGGTACCCTTCCCCAGATCTGTGCCTCGACACATTACTGTCTCGGAGCTCTACAGACAATTCCTTCGACCTCATGGCTTGGTGTTTGCTCTGACATGCACTGTCAACTGTGGGACCTTATAGACAGGTGTGTGCCTTTCCAAATCATGTCCAATTAATTGAATTTACCCCAGGTGGACTCCATACAAGTTGTTGAAACATCTCAAGGATGATCAATGGAAACAGAATGCACCTGAGCTCAATTTCGAGTCTCATAGCAAAGGGTCTGAACTTCTGTAAATAAGGTATCTGTTTAATATTTTTTATAGCATTTGCAAAAATGTCAAAGAAACAGTTTTTGCTTTGTCATTATGGGATATTGTGTGTAGATTGATGAGGAAATTGTTTTATTCAATCAATTTTAGAATAAGGCTGTAATGTAACAAAATGTGGAAAAAGTCAAGGGGTTTGAATACTTTCCGAATGCACTGTATGTTTCTGAAGCAAAGTAAAAATGTTCTGGTTTGCACCATGTGCCTCCTTCACATAGTTGATCAGGCTGTCGATTGTGGCCTGTGGAATGACCCTGGTGAGGACGACGAGCACGCAGATGAGCTTCCCTGAGACGGTTTCTGACAGTTTGTGCAGAAATTCTTCGGTTTTGCAAACCTACAGTTTCATCAGCTGTCTGGGTGGCTGGTCTCAGACGATCCCACAGGTGAAGAAGCCTGATGTGGAGGTCCTGGGCTGTCATGGTTACATGTGGTCTGCGGTTGTGAGGGCGGTTTGGACGTACTGCCAAATTCTCAAAAATGACGTTGGAAGTGGCTTATGGTAGAGCAATTGACATTTCAAATCTCTGGCAGCAGCTCTGGTGGACATTCCTGCAGTCAGCATGCCAATAGCACGCTCCCTCAAAACTTGAGACATCTATGGCATTGTGTTGTGTGACAAAACTGCACAATTTAGAGTGGACCTTTTATTGTCCCCAGCACAAGGTGCACCTGTGCAATGATCATCAGCTTCTTGATATGCCACACCTGTCAGGTGGATGGATTATCTTGGCAAAGGAAAAATGCTCACTAACAGGGATGTAAACAAATGTGTGCACCAAATTTGAGAGAAATAAGCGTTGTGTGTATGGAAAATGTCTGATCTTTTATTTCAGCTCATGAAACATGGGACCAACACTTTACATGTTGCGTTTATATTTTTGTTCAGTTTAGTTCTAGTGTTGCCGTCATTTTAAGGGAAACTGCTGAAGACCAGGGGTTCGTCCCAAATGGTACCATACTTTTGGCCAGGGCCCATATGGAATAGGGTGCCATTTGGGACTCACCCTAGCCCTCCAGGACCGGGAATAGCGGGCCCTGCCCTCCATTCATCCATGCTGACTCTCTGGAAAGACTCCCATAGTAAAACCAACCGGGGACCTGTCTCTGAGCTCTGTTGGGAGCCCCACGGCCATTAACACCCATGGCCAACAAACACAAACCCATTAAGTATGACACAGCACCGCTATTGACAGCTGCCCAACCGCCATAGACACCCTTTATAAAAGTACATTCTGTCACGTACAGCGATATCCCTCTGATAACTGACCTTGAGAAAGGCAGAGATAAAAATTGCTGTCTGTTTTTTAAGGACTTTTTTAAAGATCTCTTACCATGGTAGATACATGAATACACATACTGTAGGCTATACATTTATTTTTGTAAAGAGAAAAGCCATGTCTCTTTTTCTTGAGGACAGCATCTCAGTAGTTGTGGTTTGGAAGCAGCCTCACTAAGCAGAGAGAGATTAGGTCAGTGATAAAGAGGAAGGCCTGCTTGTGACAGTGTTAAAGGCCCAATGCAGCTGTTTTTATCTCGATACCAAATCATTTCTGGGTAACAATTAAGTACCTTACTGAGATTGTTTTCAGTCAAAATGGTCAAAAAGAAACAAAAATAGCTTCTTAGCAAGAGCAATTTCTCAAGCAAGAATTTAGCTAAGCCTGTCTGGGAGTGGTCTGAGTGGGGAGGGGCAGAGGTTTGGAACTGTTTCTTATTGGTCTAATGTACCTGATGTCACCAGGCAGGCCAACACTCCATCCCACCAAAACTGCCTGAAATTTCAGTCTGTCTTTTTGAACAGCTCTTACACTAAAAGGGCATTATCATAATTTTCACAATTTTGCAGTATTATTTCAACCTCATAGTGTGGGAATATATGTAAAACACAGACACATCTAATTTTTGACTGCACTGGGCCTTTAAGTGAGCTTTTGAAGGTCGGGCAATGCGAACGATACCCTCAGCTGTCTAAGCTGTATCCTCTACAGGAAACTTGCTGAGTAGGTCAAACATACTTAGATTTGACAGTGAACGGCATTATTTAGCGACACAGACTATTGGCCTATCACGTTAATCAATATGGATACAAAAACATTTGATGTGAAAATGCTATAGAAAGATGGTAAACAAACAGGAGCTCTATTACTGTACTGAGACAAAACAATAAGGCATAAAAGTAATCAAACTAATGGAATACTATGGAATTATACATAACTAATACAAACAGATACAAAATGTAATAGCAATGTAATATAAAGCTTAACATTAAGGGACCTACTCAAATCAACACACGCCTGGGATAGTTCTGAGTTTATTGTTACGGAAATTAGTTGAATATCAATGTTAATCAATGGCTACTAGTGTTTCAGGAAGCAATTCAGACATGAACATGATTCAGAATGTTTTTACTCAAATGTCGGTTCCTTTATGGCAATGGTCCTTCAGCAGAGTCTGCTGCTGGGTGAAGTTTCCCCTAGGTACAGATCTAGGATAAGCATCCACTCACCCAATCCAAACCTTAACCTTTAGTGGGGAAAATGGAAAACTGATCCAAGATCAGTGTCAAAGGGCAACTTCACCCTACACCCGGACCACTTCAGTCTCAGTGTTGCAGCCCACCTTTCCTCTACTTGAGGTGGAAGAAGCCTGATGGTTTGGCAGGAGCAGCCATCAGCATGTTGGCTTGGTTCTTGTGTGTGATGTGGATCTAAACACAGGGTGGACAATTCAGAGGTTTTACAAAGTCATCAGAGTCTACAAGTGTTTCCCTTATCTCCAAACCCTCTGGTGGTAGGCAAACATTATTGTCCTATCCCTGCACAGACGCACCTGATTCAAGTAATTCAGCTATTATTGAAAGTCGGGACAATCCTTATCCGGCAGGGAAACATTTAGTAATAATAGTAAAAATAAATAAAAAGATTTTGTAGGATTATTTTAGCTTACAAATTACATTTAGGGGAATTTTATAAGAAAAATATTTGTTTTTTGAATTGTTCTAATATTTGCAATATTATTAATTTCCATGTCCGCTCTGTGCCCGGAAATGCCCTTGTCCGGAGCAAAGAATCCCAATTTCAAACTCTCATAAAGTGTTAAAAATTCTAAAAACTGGCAATAATGAATATTAACTGAAAAATGATATTATGTAGTGTCTTGCAATAGCCCTCTGTAACTTTTAAATAATATTTCTCTCAAAACGGTGATTACTAAAAAAGTTTGGTCAAAAAACAAATTGGTCAACTCTGTCAGATTTGTCTAAAACCCTAAATTAATCAGGAATGAGCAGGGTCAGCTACACAATAAGGACCTTTTCTTCATGTCCTCATTACATGTATTGCAACAAGACCACTCATGGTCTGTAAAGTTCTCTACTTTTAATAAATGTAAAACAAGCAATATTGAAATCAGCATGGTCACAACCATAAATTGTCAACTCCATCTCCCTGATAGGATATACATTTTGGTTCAAATATGTTTATTTTAATTGCTACTTTGTATACCACTTGAATGAAGAAGAAAAATGCTATTTTTGTCTCCGTAAAACATAAACTCCGGGTTTACAAATGGGTGTATTGAACTTTGATTTTTTGAGGCAAAAATACTCTTGAGTATTTGTTGTCAACTCCATCAGTGGCTTGTCAATTCAGTCACTGATTAACTAATCTCATTAAGCTCGTTTTTTTGGTCAATATTCAGAAAAAATATTTGAATCACTGTTCTGCAACATATGCTTAAACTATTGAAGTATTTGCTGTGCTACACCTAAGGGATAATGTTTGCTTTATAAAATGTTGTTTTATGTTCTATCTAAAAAATCTAAAAAAACATGCCGAAATGCTAACTAAATTAGCCCTGGAGCATTATATAGTGCTATTAAACAAAACAAAACTTAAGTTTGGAGATTTGTATTACATATTTGAATAATCTAATGTTAGAATTAAACAAATCAAGGCCTTCAAACACTTGTTGGACAATGTAAAAATTAAAAGCCTTTTATGGCGTGAGATGGAGTTGACATAAATCCATTTAGTTGCATTTTATGGAACATTTTTAGAATTAGGTTGTTGCTTTACATGGTGTGATAGGTGATACATTGGTCTATCAAAATATATATTTCAAATTTGTGTTAATATTAAGACAAATTTGTGAATATTTGAGATTGTCCTGTCTTTCAAGAATTAATGAATCACCAAGCCCTTGATTAGTTGTGTCTGGTGTGTCAGTGTAGGGCTATAACAAAAATGTGTCCGGTGTGGTAAGGTTTGGGAAATGCTGATCTCCAGTACATCACATTGTATTTCTGAAACAAAATGAGTCAAGAGACTTGGCCCACTGCTAAAACTAAAAAGCCATCATAAGGACATCAACAATGTTTATTTGAGAATAAATGTTCCTCCAGTTGTCACACTCTTTCTAATTCAATTGGTCATAGAGATCCCAACGCCAAATTCACTTAAACGGTATATTAACAACACTTACAGTGCAGGGAGGCTGCATCCAGGGCTCACCATCAATCTGCATAGGCAAGGCTTTATGTGTCCTGAGAAATGAGAAAGGCAATAAGAGAGATACGTTTTATTACCAAAAGGTAAAAAGGCATAAAACCTGAAGAATTGTGTATAGAGCCTGCATTAAGTCTACCTGATAGTGATATGTGATGTTTGAGCCAGTCTGTGTCCAGCCCTCTTCAGCCCAGAATAGATCTGACCCATCTCAATCGCCCCCTCCAACCCCAACACCTCGATCCGCTTGTCACTTAGGTCTGTGGGGGGAAAAGAACACATGAAAACATATTGTCATAAGCTCATTAAGCAGACATTCATTCTCATACATAGTGACTTAACTAATACAAATTATATCATAATAATTTGGTGGGTTGGGTACTTATATTGGTCCTATTTCTTGCATGTACAAGTGTGTATTAATACAGTGCCTTGCAAAAGTATTCATCCCCATTGGCGTTTTTCCTATTTTGTTGCATTACAACCTGTAATTTAAATTGATTTTTATTTGGATTTCATGTAATGGACATACACAAAATAGTCCAAATTGGTGAAGTGAAATGAAAAAAATAACTTGTTTCAAAACATTCTAAAAAATAAATAACGGAAAAGTGGTGCGTGCATATGTATTCACCCCCTTTGCTATGAAGCCCCTAAATAAGATCTGGTGCAACCAATTACCTTCAGAAGTCACATAATTAGTTAAATGTGTGCAATCTAAGTGTCACATAATCTGTCACATGATCTCAGTATACATACACCTGTTCTGAAAGGCCCCAGAGTCTGCAACACCACTAAGCAAGGGGCACCACCAAGCAAGCTGCACCATGAAGACCAAGGAGCTCTCCAAACAGGTCAGGGACAAAGTTGTGGAGAAGTACAGATCAGGGTTGGGTTATAAAAAAATATCAGAAACTTTGAACATCCCACGGAGCACTGTTTAATCCATTATTAAAAAATGGAAAGAATATGGCACCACAACAAACCTGCCAAGAGAGGGCCGCCCACCAAAACTCACGGACCAGGCAAGGAGGGCCTTAATCAGAGAGGCAACAAATAGACCAAAGATAACCCTGAAGGAGCTGCAAAGCTCCACAGCGGATATTGGAGTATCTGTCCATAGGACCACTTTAAGCCGTACACTACACAGAGCTGGGCTTTACGGAAGAGTGGCCAGAAAAAGCCATTGCTTAAAGAAAAAAATAAGCAAACATGTTTTGTGTTTGCCAAAAGGCATGTGGGAGACTCCCCAAACATATGGAAGAAGGTACTCTGGTCAGATTAGACTAAAATTGAGCTTTTTGGCCATCAAGGAAAACGCTATGTCTGGTGCAAACCCAACACCTCTCATCACCCCAAGAACACCATCCCGTGATGGCAGAATCATGCTGTGGGGATGTTTTTCCATCAGCAGGGACTGGGAAACTGGTCAGAATTGAAGGAATGATGGATGGCGCTAAATACAGGGAAATTCTTGAGGGAAACCTGTTTCAGTCTACCAGAGATTTGAGACTGGGACGGCGGTTTACCTTCCAGCAGGACAATGACCCTAAGCATACTGCTAAAGCAACACTCGAGTGGTTTAAGGGGAAACATTTAAATGTCTTGGAATGGCCTAGTCAAAGCCCAGACCTCAATCCAATTGAGAATCTGTGGTATGACTTAAAGATTGCTGTACACCAGCGGAACCCATCCAACTTGAAGGAGCTGCAGCAGTTTTGTCTTGAAGAATGGGCAAAAATCCCAGTGGCTAGATGTGCCAAGCTTATAGAGACATACCCCAAGAGATTTGCAGCTGTAATTGCTGCAAAAGGTGGCTCTACAAAGTATTGACTTTGGGGGGGTGAATAGTTATGCACGGCTCAAGTTCTGTTTTTTTGTCTTATTTCTTGTTTGTTTCACAAGAAAAAATATTTTGCATCTTCAAAGTGGTAGGCATGTTGTGTAAATCAAATGATACAACACCCCCCAAAATCCATTTGAATTCCAGGTTGTAAGGCAACAAAATAGGAAAAATGCCAAGGGGGGTGAATACTTTCGCAAGCCACTGTACTTATGTGGAGAGTGGGGTCACGGCAAGGGTCTGCCATTATCAACGGCGACCCTGGAGCAAATAGGGTTAAGTGCCTTGCTCAAGGGCACATCAACAGATTTTTCACCTTGTCAAGTATTCGAACTTGCGACCTTTTGGTTAATGGCCCAACGCTCTAACCACTAGGCTACCTTACCTGCCACTTCAAAAAATAAGACCATATGGTCTGTGTAAGGGGAAAAGTGACAATATTACATACAATGTTACAGTAAACATTCCTATCACTAGGCAACAAAATAAACCTCCAACAGTGTATGTGAGATAAGCATGCCCTACAGTACCTTGTGAGCTCATTTTCAGAATGTCGTGGTCAGTGACGACCTCAGGCGGTTCCTCTTCTGACACATTGTCTCTATCTGCCTTCTTAGCCTCACCCCACAGGTTGGAGCCACCGTGCATGCTGGGTATGTTGATGACTGCAAGGCCCTCCAGAGAGTGACCGCTCAGGTCCAGGGGTGTCCCACAGCACTGAGAGATAGATGGACAGACAGATACGGACACAAACGGGTAAAGAGACTAAATTAATTATTGCTAAGACTATCTACAGTGCCGTGAAAAAGTTTTTGCCCCCTTTCTGATTTTCTCCATATTCACATAACTACAAAAATGGATACTTATTTTATTGATTTAATTAACAAAGTTATGCAACACTCAATTCCCCTGTGTGAAAAAGTAAATTCCCCCTTACACTCAATAACTGGTTGTGCCACCTTTAGCTGCAATGACTGCAACCAAATGCTTCCTGTAGTTGTTGATCAGTCTCCCACGTCGCTGTGGAAGAATTTTGGCCCACTCTTGCATGCAGAACTGCTTTAACTCAGCGACATTTGTGGGTTTTCAAGCATGAACTGCTCATTTCAGGTCCTGCCACAACATCTCAATTGGGATTAGGTCTGGACTTTGACTAGGCCATTCCAAAACTTCAAATGTGTTGCTTTTTAGCCATTTTCATGTAGACTTGATTGTGTGTTTTGGATCATTGTCTTGCTGTATGATTCAGCTGCGCTTCAGCTCACAGACGGATGGCCTGACATTTTCTGATACAGAGCAGAATTCATGGTTCCTTCTATTTAGGCAAGTCGTCCAGGTCCCCAAACCATCACACTACCACTACCATACTTGACCGTTGGTATGAGGATCTTACTGTGGAATGCAGTGTTTGGTTTTCGCCAGACATAATGGGACCCGTCTCATCCAAAAAGTTGACTCAAGTTTGCCAAAAAGCACCTGGAAGAGCATCAAGACTCTTGGAAGAATGTTCTATGAGTCAAAAGTATAAACTTTTTGGCTGACATGGGCAGTGGCGACCAGTCATTCTACCGCATTCAAAACAACTGGAAACTCTGAAATAACTTTGATTGGATTGATCATATCAACGTCATACTTTCAAAATCTTTGCTAGCAAGCTAGCAGTCATCATCATGAATCAATTCGACAATTTACTGGCCAATCCTTGTCTTATGAAGGTAAATAATGAAGAGAAATTATAGATAAAATGTATCGGTGCTCATCGGCCATTGGACATAAACATTACACAACAAGTTGGTAATCGCAAATTCAACAATGAGTGGTTTGGAAGGAATCAGTGGCTAACTGCAAGCATTGCAAAGCAATCACTAGCCGGCTATTCAGTGGAGTGGGTGTGTGGTCCAAGTCTGGGTTTAAGGGTCTCTTTTCCAAGCTTAAAAAGATAAACATTCAACATTGGCCATGCTGTCAATCCAGCATGACTTCTGCCCCACTCAAAACAACTGGAAACTCGGAACTGGGAAGTCTCAGACTTCAGTGAGTTCAAGACAACTGGGAACTCTGAAAAAAACGAGCTCCGACTGGTAAAATACGTTTTGAACGGTCATCCAACTCGGAATTCCAAGTCGGGAACTCAGGCATCTTTCTAGAGCTCCTACCTGAAGATCACTGATGTCATGATTCAACCTTTTTTTTTTTTTGGAGTTCCCAGTTGTCTTGAAAGCACCATAAATCCAGAGAATGCCAGACTTTGATGACAACGTTTTATGACAAAATTTGACCACAAGAAGGACTGCCACGCCACCTTTCTGTTCAAGTGAGCACAGCACAACAATTTGAGTCCAAAAATGTATTGTATGCTGCTGCATATATGATGTAATATGCTAGGGAGATATGTATACTTTAGCTAAGAAAGTAATACTAAGTGTATGTTGTGTAGTAAGCTGTTAGTAGCTCATGTGCCTCACCCTAATAATTTGGTCCCTTTCCCCCTCATAACTTAGCCTACTGTTCTGACTTGTAGCCTATAGCGTGTTTAAGAAAAATGTCATCATCGAATATTGTAAGCGTTTTCATTGTCTGCTTATATGCCCCCTTTATTTATCCTACGGTTCTGACTTGGTGTACAGGGAGAATACTGTAAGAATGGCCCATGTTCTGAATTCTGTCGCTGTACATTTCAGAAGTGCTGAACAAATAGTTATATTGACTACGTCCGTCTTAGCTCGCTCATTGTCTTAATCCAAATTACAGATTGCCTCTTATCCGCTCATTGTTCCCTTATGCCATAGTTTGTACATCTCAATTGTCAGTAAAAACCACATTTGTTTAAGCAAGTCAGCCATATCAGCTATGTTTTTTAAAAAGGCAGTAAATGAGGCGGAATTAACTGTTTCGCTGCAAGACATGGCTCTGCTGATAGCCAGGTGTATAGGTGGTAAGGATTCACTACATGGTGCTGAAAAGAAAGCTCTGCTGTTGGGACAGCTTTATGTAGGCCCTAACAGTTTGTGGGCACCGTTTGTCACCGTTATAGTGTAATTAATTTATTGTTTTTTGTTTTGTGTAGTGGCTTTGCTGGCATGCATTAAAAATATATATATGTTGAGTTTGCCCCCACCAAGATTTGCATGCTAAAATCGCCACTGGACATGGGTCCCATTATGCCTGGCGAAAACCAAACACTGCATTCCACAGTAAAGAACCTCATACCAACGGTCAATCATGGTGGTGGTAGTGTGATGGTTTGGGGATGCTTTGCTGCCTCAGGATCTGGAAGACTTGCCTAAATAGAAGGAACCATGAATTCTGTTCTGTATCAGAGAATTCTACAGGAGAATGTCAGGCCATCCGTCTGTGAGCTGAAGCGCAGCTGGGTCATGCAGCAAGACAATGATCCAAAACACACAATCAAGTCTAAATGAAAATGGCTAAAAAGCAACACATTTGAAGTTTTGGAATGGCCTAGTCAAAGTCCAGACCTAATCCCAATTGAGATGTTGTGGCAGGACTTGAAACGAGCAGTTTATGCTTGAAAACCCACAAATGTAGCTGAGTTAAAGCAGTTCTGCATGGAAGAGTGGGCCAAAATTCCTCCACAGCAATGTGAGAGACTGATCAACAACTACCGAAAGAGTTTGGTTGGAGTCATTGAAGCTAAAAGTGGCACAACCAGTTATTGAGTGTAAGAGGGCAATTACCTTTTCCACACAAGGGCATTGGGTGTTGCATAACTTTGTTCATGAAATAAATGAAATAAGTATGTAGTTGTTGTGTTATTTGTTCACTCAGGTTCCCTTTATCTAACATTAGGTTTTGGTTGAAGATCTGATAACATTCTGTACAAAAAATATGCAAAAGTAGAGAAAATTAGAAATACTTTTTCACAGCACTGTACACTTAAACTGTGGTAAGATCCATTTAAGCACAAACTAGAAAAACTAGAATTCAAGACTTCAGTGTTCACCTCAATGCTGAGACACTCCTTTAGCTTCTTGCAGGAGGCAGAGATGGTCTCAGAGGTGGCAAACTCAAAATACCACAGTTTGTTCTTCATCCTTGCAGATAAAACAAAAAGCACATTGTTTTGGGTCAGTGCTCACAGATAAAACAAAATCACACCCAGCCATAACAGATTTTTCACTCTTCGCACTCTGTTTGATCCTTGACCTTTCAGTCACTCTCACCTGCTGTTGAACTTCTGAGGGTGCTTCTCCCTCATGGAGTGAAAGCGGTGAGCAATGGAGGCATCCTGTCAAACACATTGTAGCATTTACATGTATTCAATACATTCAATAAATCTTTATCATCACAAAAGGGCAATTTGTAACAATAAGAAAATAAGAGCACAATGACAAGACAAATCACAATCACATAGCTACATCACTCAACTACAACACAAGCTACATCACTTACAGATGTCACTATGTGATTGTGATTTGTCTTGCCAGTGTGCTCATGTCTTCTTATTGCTGCAAACAAACTACCAAAACTGGCAGGCAGGATAAGGCAGTTAAGAGAGACACACAGGTGATTGACTGTTGGAGTCTGTACAATATCCAATCAGTCGAAGCAGGCTCCATGACCCAAAAGTCGTCACTCACCACGCCAATAGAGAAGTAGTTGTTGATGATCTCGTTGGGCACAGGGTCTCCTATCTCCAGGGGGTCCTCTGAAATCACCTGCACACTCCAGCGGTCCATAGGAACCAACAAGCTCTCCTCAACCTCCTTCAGAATCTCTCTGAGATCTGTGCCCTCGTAACCTACAGGGGTTTCCATGGACACAGGGTTTACACAAGAGAAACATATGACGAGCGTTGATTTTGGGGTGCTTTCCTTTTAACCAAAGCCATGCATTCTAAATAGCACGGTATTCCCTATGGGCCCTGGTCAAAAGTGGTGGACTACATAGAGAATAGGGTGCAATTTAGGACACGCCATTATGTTAAACACGGCCCTTACCTCCTCCCCAGTGGAGGCAGCGAGCGAGGTCGTTCCCTGTGCCGAGTGGCAGGACCGCCACTGGGGGACGCACCGGCAGGTCAGCTTTGTCTGAGAACACACAGAGGCAGTCATTGTTCAGCTTTAGAGAACCCCAGAGACCTTGACTACTGTTCATGTACTTCTGAGGGGACAGGAAGCAACCCACACCTATAGCATCTAGAATCCAGCCGACCGTGCCATCTCCACCACACACCAGGATTCTGTAGTCATGAAGGTTCCGGAAGAAGTGCAGTCTGATGTGGATACACATACACATGAATCAATCAAAAGTATTTATAAAGCCCCTTTTTACATCAGCAGTTGTCACAAAGTGCCTTTAGTGACCTTTCCCAAAATCCATAGCGCAAAAGCACACTATAATACCAATTAATATAATCTCCCATAAAAAAGGATTAAGAAATCATCTACCCTCTGTCATAAGGGAAACATAATGCTGTCATAACATAACAGTCCATAAACAGTACACGTCCCCACCTCCCACCCCTGATCAAACTGCATGTGTAGTTACCCTGGTCCAGGGCCTCCATTGGAGAGGTTGTAGACCTGCCGTGGGTTCAGTAGATACTGAAACTTCCTCAGCACTCTGAAACATACATGGCATTCACTCACAGGAGTACATTCTATCAGTGCAGGATAGGAAATGTTTTATGATGTCTGTCCTAATCTGCTCTTACCTCTCCCCCTGCTTCCCTCCACTCTTTGGGTTCACAAACACCAGGAGAGGGTGGGTGTCTGGAATAGGAGCAATCTGCAGAGAGAGACGGGGAGGAGAAAATATTAACGTGTTAATTCACCAAACACTGGCGTGCATGCCATGCAGCAGCCAGCGCAATACAATTGCAGTCGATAAGAGTGACAGAAGCAGATCCATACCAAATGAAAATGCATTACTGGCTTTCACACATTTGTGTTAAAGCACATGCTAATGGATAGGGCCAGTAGTGTGTGTCTGTGTGTGTGTGTGTGAAGTGGATGGTACTGTGTCCCTGTCAGTGGAAGTAAGAGGACCCTACCTGCAGAATGTGCCCATCTGGGGTGATGTCCTCCAGGCTAGTGTCCTCCATGGAACTACTCCTTCCTTCTTCATCCTTCTTCAGGAACAGAGAGGGTTAGGAGCATGGCAAGGGATATACACATACTGTAGTATTATTGGGTGACCAAAAAATCTGCCTGCATTTTTTGCTTTTAGCTGAAGCATAGTCTGAATGGCTATAAACAGTGTGACTTCATTTGCAACTGTTATGGAATGGAGTCATGGGCTTGTCGTGGGTTTAATGGCTGACCTTGGAGGCTGAGTATATGGCCCACGGTGGCAGAATGTGGTCTCTTAGCGGCCCGCAGTCGCATGATGATGACCCGAAGTTGACACAGTCGTCATGGCGCTAAAACAAGACATTCATTGTAAAGACTAGTGGCAGAATGTGTGTACACATACAGCCAAGCATGTAAACACACACACACACACTTACCATCTGTTGGCACCACACGCAATGCTTCCCTGCCAGGGTCTTGATCTTCTTGTTGCAGAAGTGACACTTACTGGAGTCACAGTCAGCACTGACCCAGCCGTGAGCCGGAACCTGGAGCAGACAGACAGAGGGACAACATCCACAAACACCTATGACCACTATAGCCACCAGGGCAAGATGTGAAGGCTTTTATATTTTACATTTTGCTGACTGAATACACACTCTTGAAAATGACATGACTATGATCAGGTGTGCAGATGAATCAAAATGATATGAAACGTAATGTTATTCAGGTCTAAAAATCATGATTCTGGATTGAAATGTGAAACAGAACTCTATTGAGCCTCACCCCAATCTGTTTTTTGGATTTAACAAAGGTGCAGGCGCATGGACCAGGGTTCTTGTTGGCACAGCGACCATGGACGGTGTACTTACACACTGAGGGGGAGAGAAGAATAAGGCCACTGTTAAACATTTCTCTTTGAAAATGTTCTCTTGTTTTTGCATGTTGTTCGTAGTATCAACAATGTGCAACTCTCTTCCATAGGCAAGATAATAGATCATCTACTACATTATCTGCACTCAACCTGTCTATTATGAAAAATGAGGGTGGGCATTGTGAGTGCATGGGGAGGGAAGCTGAACTTGTTTAATGTATAAATAATAAGTTGTGGTCCTCTGTAGCTCAGCTGGTAGAGCACGGCGCTTGTAACGCCAAGGTAGTGGGTTCGATCCCCGGGACCACCCATACACAAAAATGTATGCACGCATGACTGTAAGTCGCTTTGGATAAAAGCGTCTGCTAAATGGCATATTATTATTATTATAAGTTGACTCATGGTTGATCAACTTTAATGAAAAGTGAAAAACATTGTGGCCCTACTGGTAGCAATCAGGGAACCAATGAGTAATAAAGAACTACAGCAGTGGTCACCAACCCTGGTCCTGGAGAGCTATAGGATGTGCAGGCTTTTATTCCAACCCAGCACTAACACACCGGAATCAACTACTCATACAGAACTTGATTAGTTGAATCAAGTGTGTCAGTTGCTGGGCTAGGACAAAAGCTTGTATGCCCTAAGGCATGTACACTAACTCTCAAGGACCACACTTCAGTCAGTGACAACAGAACCACAGTCTCTACTCAGACACTCAGAACTCCGGTGTAAGTCTATCTATGAATATCAGACAGAGGTCGCCCCCTAGTGACGGTATAGAGCTCTTACAGGTGCAGCAGAGGCCCTGTTTCCTGAGGCCCAGCAGCATGCTCTGACACACGTTGCAGTACACAGGCTTGTTGAAGTGCTTCATTCTCCAGATGTGCTGCCCATCTCTCTCTGCCATCTGAGAGAGAGAGAGAGAGAGGGGGGAGAGATGGGGGGGAGAGAGAGAGAGGGGGGGAGAGAGAGGGGTGGGCTTAGAGAGAGCGTAGAGGGGGAGAGGAGAGGGGGGAGAGAGGTGGGGCCTTTATGTTCTCTCTGCGAGTTTTGTCTTGGGGTTTTTAGAGCCGGGAGGGGAGTGATAGCTCTGTCTGACGAAAGAAAAAGAGCAAAGTCTTCTCTCTCTCTGTGCTTTTCTAGGGGGTCTGTTGGTCACTCTTCGCGAGGTCGCTCTGCTCTTCGCGTCGCTCTCATGCGCATGGCGTCGCAGTCGGCCTGTCGTCTCGTCGGAGTCTAGGCTCTCGAGACGATGCCCCTCATGACGCTTCGACTTACAGGAGATGAGTTGAGATACGTGATCTTGACGTACTGTCTAATCCTGAGGCGACTCTACGAGATATCTGGACGGCTGGCGATAGTGGTATGAGTCGGTGAGTTCTGCTGTGTTTGAGTTTCGTCGCTGGTGCTGTTGTTTGTGGGATCTAGTTTTGTTGGCTAGGTTGAGGCGAAGCGTTTGCATCATGTTGGGGGTCTCCGGATCGAGCCGATGGCAGGCTAGGTTGGGATCAGCGACGAGGGCTGCCTCGGCGGTACCTTCGGCTCCGCTGCTCTGGACTCTGATCGCTCCTCCTCGTCTGCATCTCGTTCCGTTCCTGATAGATTACTTGATCTCTACGACGACCTAGAGAGGCTGATTGTACTAGGATGCATAGTCGAGATACAGGGACAGATCAGAGAGCAGAGTATAGAGAGAGGAGGAAAAAAGAGAAAAAGAGGGCAGGGTCTTTGTTAACAACTAATGTAAACAGCAGGGTAGTCTCTCTTGCAAGGGAGACACCGTGGCTTTGTCTCTGTGAAGAGACTAACAGCATGGTAAAGTAAACAGCACGCCAATCCAAACAAGTACCATTTGTATGTGTGCAGACTTTTCTGATACAGTATTGCCAACAAAGTGTGAGGGCCATGAATAGATATAATTTTGGATAAGACAGGGACAAGATAAGACAAAACTGGATAAGACATAACTTTGGGGTGACATTTAAAAGTATAATCTAAACGGAATTGAATAAAGCTTTATCGAGATGTACAGTAGTTGAACCATACAGGACATAGCAAATGTTCTAGACATAAGGACTCTATTGTCATGTGCTGAATGATGTATACTGATTGAGTTAACCAGAGGAGGCAGAGTCTGGCTGTTAGTGCTTCTTGCCTTGAGTCCCAACAGCACCAACAGGGGCACGTTGTTCATCCCTCCCTGGATCCACTCCTGCAGGGTCACCGCTCCACTGTTGTCAGCATCCATCGCCGTCATCATGTCCTTCAGCACCTTAGGGACCAATCAGAGTAGTTAGACTCCCACTGTTCCTGGTTCCTGACCAATCACAATATAAGTCTCTCTGCGCTGCTGCCAGGTGTTAGCCCTATAGACCCAAAGTCTATAACCAGAACATCAACCCTCAAACCAAATTACAGTATATCAAATGTTGGACCCACTTAACTTAATTCATTGGAAGCTTAATTTCCATGTATGGACATCACTTCAGATTTCATTTTGTAGATTAAATTGACTTTCACTTGCAGAACATAAACTCTCACCTGACAAATATTAAGTATGCAATCTCTTATCTGATAATCTCTAATCTCTTTTTTGATAATTATAATTGATGGAATGTCAAGTGTAAGCAACATGCAGTGTTGTACCTAAATACTGTTAACATTAGTCTCTCATCGCTATTCACTACAACTCTCTAACCAGGAACTTGCACAAGGACTGTAACTGGGTGCTGGGTGGAGGCTTTGGGCCCAATTCAATAAAGACCACTAACTAGATTACTGTGGTGAGACAAAACAATTTGAGAGAGTGTATATTTAGATTAATGTGGTCTAATTCTTTCCATGAAAATAATGTTTGCCCCGACAATCAAAAAGAAAGGCATAATAATTCCAACATCAACACTGTTGTTTACCTTTCCCTGAAACCTCAGGGGTATACTACAAAGCAGAATCAATAAGCTATAGCCAGCCATCTTTGATAAACAACCAGAATTAACTGTAGATTTTCTGATTCATTAAGAAAGCTAAACTAAGGTATATGTTTTTGGTTGTTGCGTCAATTAGACCATGCCCATTTCAAGATGATCTTAAAAAAAGCAATTTCAGAATATTTAGGCAAGTTCACCGGCCAACTCCTTGATGCTGCTTTGTGGTATACCCCTCAGGTGAAATGTTTCGCTTAAATATATGACCCAGTGAGTATTCCCATAGGGATAGTTGACAGGTATGTAAGTGGATGTCTTACCGGTCTGAGTTCTGTCACGTCCCAGCCCAGGTAATCTGCCGCACGCATCATCTGGGTGATGATCCGATCCACTTCCTTATTGAGAGTAAAACCACAGATTATTATGGAGACGTGTACTCTTTCACAACTCCTACTGTTCACTACAACACTGTACAGTGTACACTACATCACCTTGATTTAATTTGCGAGTAGAATGTATTCATAATACAGAAAGTACATTTAAGTCAAGTTGCAGTCACTTACTGAGCTGTCCAGGAGTCCGTTGCCATCTTTGTCGTAAAGTTTGAAAGTAACTGAAAGCACAACAGGTCATGAAATGAGTAAATCAATAACAAATCCTTTGTTTTCACTCACTCCTTGTCTCTCCTCACTGGTCAATTGAAAGCAGCTAAAAAATCAACCCATCATGGAATACAAACTATCATACAGAATTCCATTGGTGAAAAGACAGTAGGCTACTTAGTCCTCACATTCCAGTTTGTCTCGCGGCTGTCCCTCCTCCAACACAGAGAAGTAACAAGATACATCTTTGAGGTACACTCCACCTGAGAGACAAAACCAGGAGTTTATTCAGATGTTTAGCAATTGGAACTTATATATCATATCAACAGACCCCATAATCAAGCAGGCAGCCATACATAGTATGCATCAAAGTATAACATATCGTAAACTCATGAATGTTCACATCAATGCGTTCACTTTTTAAGAGCAATTGATGGACATTAAAGGTATAAGTTAGACATATCATATACATGATATTATACATAGATATACTGTATATCATACACAGTAATAATATATAAGAGTTGGTGGGATGGTGGGGCTCACCCCCTTTGGGTGGAGGGCTCCTCATATAAACGTCTCGCTCTGCATTCTGGAAGTAGCGGAAAAGGCGTTGGCAGAAATCAGCAGGAAAGTCGTCCGCCTCCAGATAGGTCTTGAGGAACAAAGAGAAGCCCACTGCATCGATGCGCTGAGATTCCAAACAGAACATTAGAGACAACAAGGGTTGTGTGGTGTAATCTCCAGTCAACATAGGGTGATGGCAGAAGGATGGGACATGGTAGGAATAGGCCCTCTTGAAGCTCACCTCTCCAAATCTGTGCTGGACCAACCGCCCGCCTGCATGGAACTCTTTCATCACATCTTTCACTCTCAGACTGCCATCTGCATAGAGGACAATACTGAAGGTCAACACAGGGGATACAAGCATATAAAGATAAGCCAGATATGGGACTGGCAGAAAAGTCTAAATGATAAAATACATGTTTTGGCAACAATACATTTGAAAATCCAATTACAACAGGGCATAAGATGCAGTACGTAAACCACCAGCAGAAGATGTAAAATAAAACAAACAAATACACAGGACATCTGACAGGCGAAATAGACGCCCCTTTAAAGAGTTAAAAACCTCTGCCTGTTGGGTTCCATTCTAGTGCTGCTCTTTGAGGTTTAGGCCAGGTAACTGTAAAGCACTTTGTGACAACTGCTGATGTAAAAAGGGCTTTATAAAATACATTTGATTGAAATTCGATTGACTATATGAAACTCCAGTGAGGGAAGAGAGCAGTACCCTTTCGTGCAGTCTCCCTGTTCACCCTCTTGGAACATTACCCCTAGATTTAGTTGAGTCATATGAGAACATCCATAAAAACATTGGTTCAAGGTGCATGCTGGATTAGAGAGGATCATGTAGAACAAAAAGTACATCCACACTGTCTGGTATAATGCTCCCCAAATATTCATTTTATATATACACACTACCGTTCAAAAGTTTGGGGTCACTTAGAAATGTCCTTGTTTTCCATGAAAACATACATGAAATTTGTTTGAATAGGAAATATAGCAAAATGGATGGGAAATGTAGTCATTGACAGCGTATATCACTGCAGAATGCTGTGGTAGCCATGCTGGTTAAGTGTGCCTTGAATTCTAAATAAATCACAGACAGTGTCACCAGCAAAATACCCCCACACTATAACACCTCCTCCTCCATGCTTTACTGTGGGAAATACACATGCAGAGATCATCCGTTCACCCACACCGCGTTTCACAAAGACACCAGACCAAAGGATACATTTCCACCAGTCTTATGTCCATTGCTCGTGTTTCTTGGCCCAAGCAAGTCTTTCTTATTATTGGTGTCCTTTAGTAGTGGTTTCTTTGCAGCAATTTGATCATGAAGGCCTGATTCACACAGTCTCCTCTGAACAGTTGACGTTGAACTCTGTGAAGCATTTATTTGGGCTGCAATTTCTGAGGCTGGTAACTCTAATGAACTTATCCTCTGCAGCAGAGGTAACTTTCGGTCTTCCATTCCTGTGGCGGTCCTCGTGAGAGCCAGTTTCATCATAGCGCTTGATGGGTTTTTGCGACTGCACTTGAAGAAACTTTCAAAGTTCTTGACATTTTCCGTATTGACTGACCTTCATGCTTATTTGAGCTGTTCTTGTCATAATATGGACTTGGTATTTTACCAAATAGGGCAATCTTCTGTATACCCCCCTACCTTGTCACAACACAACTGATTGGCTCAAATGCATTAAGAAGGAAAGAAATTCCACAAATTAACTTTTAAGAAGGCACACCTGTTAATTGAAATGCATTCCAGGTGACTACCTCATGAAGCTGGTTGAGAGAATGCCAAGTGTGTGCAAAGCTGTCATCAAGGCAAAGGGTGGCTACTTTGAAGAATCTCAAATATAAAATATATTTTGATTTGTTTAACACTTTTTGGTTACTACATGATTCCATATGTGTTATTTCATAGTTTTGATATCTTCACTATTATTCTAAAATGTAGAAAATAGTAAAAATAAAGAAAAACCCTGGAATGAGTAGGTGTGTCAAAACTTTTGACTGGTACTGTATATACATATATCATAGTATAAATACATAGTTATTGTATACATTGTATATATAGAGCGAGTGGGCATGTGGGCTGAGCTGACATTTAACAATATACACACCAAAAAACAAAGCAATGTTCGTCTTTGTAATTGAGGCGCTATGCCTTTTTAGGGCTTTTAAGCTCCAACTCCTTTCCTAATGTACCAAAAAAAACGGTGGATTATGTATTTGTTCATACATTGGAGAAAGACTGCCACTTAAGTACTGTGGCCAGCTTGTATTACCTTATAAATTAAAGTATAGTGGCTGGTTGGGGTCTACTTGGGGAGAGTGGGTCCACCGAGAGACTGAAATGGGATGAGTGGAGGCCCCACGTACACCTCAGAGAAGAGTCTGATGCCCTCCCAGTCACCCCATCCCAATCCCCCAGATAAAGCCCCTCTCCCTTCTCACCAATAACCACCATTCAATCTTAGTTATAATGACAAACAAGGAATAATAATGATTCAACATCCTTTCCTAATCTGTCCAGAACTCTTATTCATTTTACAGCGGGTTTGCCAATCACAATATAAGAAATAAAATTACATCGTAATAAAATTAAGTCCTTCCTTCACTCACTCCGAAACCAAATCCATCCCTCTCCACCACCCCCTTCCAGTTCTCCCCCCCTTTACCCCACCCAAGCCAAGCTTATCCCAACCTCCCATCCTTACCCCCTTCCTTCTTCTCAGACATATTTACACCCCTCTTTACATCTACGTACTCATCCATTCTCCTTCATTCACACACAACATACCCTATGCCTCCGCACACCCATTCTCTCCCGCCCTCCTACACATATTCACCCTGCTTCACTCTCCCATTCACATGCACCGACACACACACACACACACCCTCCCGCCCATTCACATCCATAGAACAATTATTGACAATTATTGACATACATGCTATATTTCCTCTTTTATAATCGTCTTTTCAATGTCCATGTATCTCATTGGCATCTGCTAATTATGTTGTTACTTCCTAGAGAAGAACAGTTACTTGGGGACAACAGTCTAGATTGTATTGGGGGGGAAGGGGGAAGGAATATTATCCATTTACAATAAGCTGGTCTTGGGTATCACTGTATGTAGCCTTGAGTGTTTTTCACTTTTTTCCCAATTCTTCCTCTCCTCTAGTCATTCGGCTCTTTCAACTGGAAGGGGTTCCTGCATCCTGTTCAGGGCTGCGCTTTTGAACACCATCCTCTGTGTTCCCTTCCATACCCACAGCACTGCCGGGAATCAGAGTTCCTCCAGTGACTGTCTGATCAGAATGAATTACTTGTTTTTTTTCCTCAGTTTAGCAGACACGTCCTGGACAAATCGAATGGACCGGCCATGGATTTTGATCTCCTTTCCCCCCCTGTGCCTTCAGAATGTTGACTTTGGTCTGATAGATCCACAGCTTAAAGATTACCATCCGATCCGATGGCATCGCTCCAGAGCCTCCAGTGACACATCCAAGCCAAGCTCCTCCAATATCAGCTTGATCACGTAGCCGTAACCGTGTAGCTCAGTTGGTAGAGCATGGCACTTGCAACGCCAGAGTTGTGGGTTCGATTCCCACGGGGGGCCAGTATGAAAAAAATAACAACAAATAAAAAATGTATGCACTCACTAACTGTAAGTCGCTCTGGATAAGAGCGTCTGCTAAATGACTAAAATGTAGTTGGAAAGGTCTCTTTTTTCCTTGTCTTCCGGTAGGGACAATATTCACGTTGTTTTGTCTCATTCTGTTTTCTTGCTGGTCCAGGTCATCTTCTAAAGTTTTAACCTTTGTTTCCAGAAGGCCAATTTTGTTGTCCTGTTCGTCCACACGCCCACCCTGTGTATGCCTATCTGACACAATAAATGACTTTCCTTTCGAGCAAATCTACTTTTTTAACAACGAATTGTAACAGTCAATTTGTTTTGGATAGCATAGAGAGTATTTTAGCAATGTTTTCCTGGATATCCTTTAGCTGTTCATTGCTCTCATTTGCATCTCCAATATGTTCCTTGTCTTTTCCTCTAAGGGAAGCCATGGCTTGTTGAGTTTGAGTCGCAGCGTCGCTTTACCCACAGATTGGTTCGCTGTTGTATATAACTGACCGTTCACTCTCTCCTGGTTGTTTGGGGATATATTGAACTATTGATTTTAGAGGCTTAATTTAAACTATGTTGTCTGGCTTCTACATATAAATCCCAGTTTTGACAGTACAAAAAAATACCTACTCACTCCCCATGCGTCCTATCGGTATACGCATGCGCCTCCAGGTGGTGGTTCCCAAGTATTAATAATAATAATATGCCATTTAGCAGACGCTTTTATCCAAAGCGACTTACTTCAATAGGATAAAAATTTTACCCAACTAGGTCTTCGTCAGGTCCATTAGACCTAGAGCCACAGACTGTGGAAGTTAATTCTAGAAGTATGGTATTAGCATTGTATCTGACCCACCTTTCCTTTTAATAAAAAAAATGGCACTCACATTCCATGTACTGCTGCAGCTGGATGAAGTCCACAGGGCTCAAATCCCTCCCGTCTGGGTCTGTAGCTGTGTCTTTAGCTAGGTCTGGAGCTGTTTCTGGAGCCGCCATGGTCGCCAGTTTCTCCCACACTGGCCAGAGAGACTGAGGGAGAGAGACGGGAGAGTGACAGAGAAGGTGAAAAAAGAATAATCACCCCCCCAAAAATAAAATAAAGTATAAATAAAAAAAGGGAAAATAAATTAGTCCACTTTGAGTCCAGAAGCAGTAAATTACCAAGTCGGCGAAGAAGGGGATATAGTGAATGTCACAACTCTCAACTATCTATGAATAGTGAGCGTGACGTCCCACGAAACAGGTTTGTCCCCATTCTTTGCGCTGCATCACACATACTAGGTGTACAAAAAATAAAGAACACCTTCCTAATATTGAGTTGCACCCTCTCCCCCCTTTTGCCCTCAGAACAGCTTCAATTTGTCGGGGCATGGACTCTACAAGGTGTCGAAAGCGTTCGACTGGGATGCTGGCCCATGTTGACTCCAATGCTTCCCACAGTTGTGTCAAGTTGGCTTGGCTGGATGGGTGGTGGACCATTCTTGAAACACACGGGAAACTGTTGAGCGTGAAAAACCCAGCAGCGTTTCAGTTCATGACACAAACCTGGCACCTACATACTCTTCCAATTAAGGGAATCCCTTGAGAATGACTCTCATCACCCAAGGAAAATAAGTATTTATTCTACGTCAGTACTTTGTTCCAGTGGGCTGGAAACTTTTGGGGAAAATCAAATGACTTAGAGAGAATCAACAACAGACTATAATGCATACTGCTGCTCATTTCATAACTACATTTGATCAATGAGGATGTCACTAAGTCAATTGAAGTCTACACACGTTCAATGTTTTTTTTTTTTTTGCATCAACAACATAGACCTAAAGTCACTTTCCAGAGGTATCCTTTTTTGTATGAATGTAATTGACAATAGATTACATTACCCAAAGAGGACAAAAAGAGAAAATACAAAATTTAAGAGGCATGTTGTTCAGGACATTGTTCAGAGGCTTGAAGGTTTTGGGTTAATTGTCAAACATTGGGATTAAGGGTACATTGTTTAACTACCTGATTTGGTTTCATTCTATCTTGACAGGGTACATCCTGTAATATCCTGTACTGGATTACCAGAGTAATGTCAGATTAAATATTTTAGAAACCCTGCTTGAGAAAAGCTGCTGACATACAGTAGTGGGCTGCAGTATAGCAACATCATGATTCTTGACACCAGCTTTGATCTTGGCTGAGGAGATGAAGTTGTGGCAGGGCCTCCTGTAGCTCAGTTGGTAGAGCATGGTGCTTGCAACGCCAGGGTTGTGGGTTCGATTCCCACGGGGGGCCAGTATGAAAAATGTATGCACTCACTAACTGTAAGTCGCTCTGAGCGTCTGCTAAATGACTAAAATGTAAATCCCTAATGCATGGCTGACTCAAGGATCAAATACAATGAGTTAGTCAATCAGTCACCTACACTTTACCTAGACACCTGAGTCAACAATTTTGACAAAGCAGGATCCCATGAGGAAATAGTGGGAAGGGTAGGGAAACCGGTCTGTGCAGAAGGTATGAAAAGCACAAGCAGACCTTTTCCTTAAAATTGCTTTTATATGGAACGTATTCTTTTAGATTCAAACTCTATTGTGTTCTGTGTAAGTCATTCCATATGTAGCCTACACAGATCCAACCAATATTTATACAAACTTGAGTTGAGAAATAATGACAATGGATGCATTGGAAGTCTTACCGGTCGAACATAAAATTACAGTGTAGACTAAAGTGACCTAAATCAGTTCCAACGTTGTTAGTCAAACAAGTCCATGGCGCGGTGTCCCCATTCTTTGCGCTGCATCACGATGTGTAGGCATAGAGAAATATTTTGTTTGACATTTTATGGAAAATAATAATACAACATAAATAAGCCTACACATTGCATATTATCGACAAGTGGTTATTGCTCTTTCAGTAGGCTACACTCATTGCTTATAGGTGGAGACGAATCAATTGTAAGGTAATGTAAGAACAGCTTACTTTGGTGAAGTGCGTCCTAATAGATGGCTGTGGTGATGAGGGACAAGTGGACCCGAAAGAAACCCGCTGTCCACCGTAGAATTCGGTCGAATATGGGTGGTTAGAACGGCTACGCCACTGCTATGGCCACAGCTAAGTGATCAGATGTTGTTAGTGTATTAGGGCATTATATAAAACCAAGGGATTAGCGGGCGGTGAAGGGCTTGCCGTTTGCGACAATTATACTAGCACCGCCTTGGTGACAATATTACAGGACAGTTCCTGCTTAGATTGTGGGAAATAGAGTGTAATTTAGGGTGTAACGTAATCCATTGGGACAGGAGGGGGCCCTTCTCGCGTTTGACTTTTGACAATGGATAACTGACAGAATAGGATACTACAGATTAAAAATACAAGAGCCACGGAATCATTGTTATCGAGTGGACAGGTGAGGAAGAATAGAATGTAGCAAATTCTTTGTCAACCTTGTTACAATATGGGGACAATCACAGTAGTCCGGTTAACACCTAACTTGAAAACAGGGTTGTATTTATTACGCCGAGTGTTCTTCTTTTTCTTTAAAAGTTTTATGGCAGACTACACCTATTTGTGTATTGCCGCCACCTACTGTACGGAGTATTGAGATAATACAAAATACAAAAATAACAACCATCCCAGTCCCACTACTTCAGTCACATTCAAATCTCATCCCTACACAGGCTCATGTGCCTTTGAGGGCAGAACATTCATCGACAGCATTCCTTGTAATGCCTCTGCAGAAAAGTTCGTTAGTCCCAGAAAACGCTCAGCCGCACTCACAATAATGCCTATTTTCTCCGATTTCCGCTGTACAGTTGATAGCCAAAGTAATACACGCTACAAAGTCCACCTTCTTAACATACAACATGTCAGGATCCCTCTGTTGACATGGAACATCAGTTTGTGTCTCTACTCCTACTACCATTACTTCTTCAACTTCACGCCTTTCTTACACTCTTCTCAACGCCTCTGGATAGGAGACATTCTGGACAGCCCTTATTCTTACCACCTCTGTCTCCTTCACCCTAACGGGACACTTCAGAAAAGTCTGTGCATGTTCACCACCACAATTGCAGCATTTAGACTCATCTGGCATATAATACTCCTCCCGTCTACATACACATGACCAAATAATTTACAATTATCACACTGCATGGGTTTGGGCACGAAGGCTCTCAGAGGGAACCTCATATAACCCAAATACACGTGAGAAGGGTGAGACTCTTCATCAAAAAAACAATATAATGGATGTACGCCGATTTTGTTGCAAAACCTTTCTTAAATGGAAGCAAACGGAACGAAGCGGGGAGGGACCTACCTAAATTTGTCCAATAGAAACTCTCGTTGACGTTTTACAACTGTTTGGACTAATGATTACAGCCCAGCTCTCCTTGCGCTGTGAGTCACGTGGGTCGCGTCAGACAGGCTACAATCACAGGGCAGATGGAACACTTGTTTTAAAACTATTCACTTCATTTATTCAGTTAACCAGGTACTGTCAAGATAAACATTTGATATAGTGTGTTTTGTCAAATTGAAAACGGTTATTTATTCTATGATTGTATTTGTACAAATATGTTTTGCACAGATCTTGAGCATTTATTTTTGGGATCAACTGGTGATAGGGTTCAGCTTGATGGTAAAGATATTTTACTTTTATTTAATAATCAGGATTTGGATCTGAACATAATATGCATAATGAATCTCTTTATGTATGGTAAATATGTTATACATAAATACAAGTGGGCTAAAGAAAAGCCAAGATTCTTACTTTTTTAAATGGAACTGAAAAAAAAAAAAAAGAAAATTGTAAAATACCTGTGAAGCCTTATGTATTTTTGTTTAAATGTGTATACCCCTGAGTATAACGTTTATTTTTTGTATACTGTGTTGTAAAGTATGACTGTATATTTTGTTATATTTGATGTTAATAACAAATAAATAAAAAGCAGGTGGAATATTTCATCATCAATATGACTTCAATACATGAACAAGTTGAGACATGGGGAAAGATTTCCCCTTGTATTTGGAATTACATATTTTTTCCCCATATAACGTTTTGCAATAAAATTAATTAACACAATACAACATTACAAACCACCAGGAATTCTTATCTGCTTTTAATGAAACCACAAATCTCACAAAATCAAAATTGACATGGATAGATACAGAAATGGAAGTGCCTCAGTATATGTATATTGATATGATAGCAAACTATTTACAATCAATCTTAAATTTACAATAAATGTGTAATTCTTCCCCAGTTCTGTGGTATTATTATCATCAAGTCAGTTTGTCATCATCACAGTAACACACAACCATTCACAAGAATGCACATGAATAAGCAAAAAAGGCAGCGATGGGTGTTTAAAAAAAAAAATGTAAAATGTGTTTTCATTACACGGATTCTGTTGCAAATGTTATGTCTGTTGAACCCGTTCACTGCAAACGGAAAATGTTTTGCAATGAAAACGACTTTCTATTGGACAAATTCAGGTAGGTCCCTCCCCGTTTGCTTCAAACGGTAAACATTTCCATTGCAAGACATAATGAATACACCCCAGTCAGTTCTTGACTACAGTGGTGTATTCATTAGGGCACATAGCAAAAAGTTTTGCAATGGAAAACATTGAAACTAAAACCAAGCCCTTCTTATTGGAGAAGTTCAGGTCAGTCCCGCCTCGCTTTGACCCATTTGCTTGCATTTGGTTCCTAGTAAATACACCCAAGATTGCAGTATTTAACATCAAAATACATATTTGCCCAGTCTCACACTGCTCTCTACATTTCTGAATAGTAAAGTGGAGGGTCTAGCCATTAATCCTTCATTAATTATTCAGAAGTTTTATCAACATTCTTACCATCTCCTTTTAGTTTCAAGTACAGTATTGTAGTTCATCCATCCTCTAAGAAAAGAACACAGAAGCTCTCTATTCATACCATTGATTCTAACTGAAGCTGCACAGGTGACAAAGCCACATAACACTACAAAGAACAAAAGCAAGGAACTGAAACAAGTCTTGGAGGGATGTTTGTGTGTACCTCTGCTCGACAAGCTACTTAGTGATCTCATCTCACTAACCACATTACTTCAAATCACTTTACAAGCCTTTGATTTGGGTATCCAAAAGAAGTAAGAGTTCAATACCTTTAAAAGGAAATAAAAAAAACGGTTTGAGATGTATACTTGGCTCGACACACAGCCCCTTCAGGACCTGAGTTTGAGTCCCATACATGTATCATATCAAGGCACCTAACTGACAGAGCAAAGAGAGCCAGCCATGCAGAGTGAGGAAGTGGATTAAGGCTAGGTTCCAGCTTCATAGCAGCTCTCAGGAGGAGTCTAGACCTTGGTTTAGCTTCAACTGCTTCCTCGGAGTGTGTGTGTCCATTTTTATTGTCACCCCAGGAATTGAATGTAATTCATTTCCAGAATAAACTGAGGTAAAATGTGTGTGTGAACTTGTGTTCATTAGTTGGTGGTTGGAAATTAAACCAATCAATAGTTTTGTTCTCAAACGAACAAGTGAGTTATGCAATAATCAATAAAAATGCTGAAATGAAAGCATGCCAGTAGACTATCACTGTTTGAATGATTTAAGCCAGAATATTCCAAACTGTTAAGAAAAATAGTATCAGTAAAATCCTTGCTAACTGTGGTGATGGATTCAGGGTCACAAATCACCTAACCTCATCCGGGAACAAGATTACAAATCACCCATGCAACAGAGAAGTACTTTATGTATGACTGAACACAAAATATTTGAATAAGCTACATGACATACGGTGGTGTGTTAGTTATATGCTATTTGACAATGACTGAGGTAAACCAAATTAAAATAATTTAACGAAAAACAAGTATTTTGGTTGATGTTAATTTTTACATAATTGCTGTGGATAAATGCTTTGGTAGCATCTGAGAAGAAGTATTTGTTTTCATACAATTGGACCCACTTCAAACCAACTATATACATAGCATCATAAAATAAAAAGTTCTATATAGGACACTCAATACCTCCGAAAATCAAATACACAACAATAACTTTACAAAAACATAAGGCATGAAACTCAAGTCCATCAAAATAATATATATAATAATTCCAAGTCCACAGTCTTCACCAGGGCACTGTCCATCCACTACTCCTTCTGCCACCTTTTGAGTGACATTCTTGATCAGGTCTGCATCCTGAGGAGGAACAAGGAGGTTTGTTGTTGACAAAGAGGAAGGTGATGCCATCATGATATTAGTGTGATGCAGTAATGATGGGAAATGTAGTTGGTCCAAACTAAACATCCTTGCAAACAATGGTGATCCACGTGCTCTGTGTTTATGTTCAGCAGTTTCCCCGATCCATGTGCCTCCCAGGGCACACATACAGCGGAGCACATCCAATAGGATTCACTTAACCAATCCCAGCATGCATTCCTTCTCTTAAGCAGGAAATAACCCACATTTCCTGGCCCAGGTAGGAGAGAAAGACCATGGTAATAGATACAGAGAGCTAAAGAAAACATCTGTCTCAAAGGGGTCCTGAGCTTTCTTCACTACAATCTGAAGAAATGTGTTGACTTGAAGTCTGACAGAGATCGTCTCAGAAAAAATATTCAAGCAAAAATGATCAAAATGTTGTGATGTTGTACTGAAGTATGCTTAGACGGCATATATGTTAGCTTTATTATTGATAGATGAGTTTCTGATGAAGTCACACCATAGAGATAGAGGACTCATCTTTGTATCTGTGCCATTATAGCGTCTGTGACAGCATGGGCAGCGCCATTGAGGCATCCAGTTGACAACATTAAAATGGTGGAAAGCCTCAATGGCGCTGCCCATGCTAATACTGCCTTTTGGCCACTAGAGGCCTCTATCATTCATACACAACTGGAAGCCATGGTGGTGCGGATGAGTCATCGCATTATAGTCAGCCAATCTGATATTTTGTCAGCAGCAGAGGGGGCGGGGAGAAGGCAGATTAGGCTACAATCTTGCTTCTTTCTTCCTATGACTGATCAGTCCATGTTAGTTTTCTTTTCTCTAAATAAAACATGTGTTTAAGGCAGAGAGAGCGGGGTAATCCTGACTTAGAGCGTCTCCTTCAGGATGTTTACCATTCACTTCTATTTCCTCTACCCTCTTAGTTGGAGACCCCAACTACTTTTACCTGTCCCTCCATCACCCCCACTCGATACTACCCTACCCCCCGATTTGTCATGGTTTCCCCTCTAAAGCCTTCTATTGGTGTCATATCTCTTTAATCCCGTCTCTGTCATAGGATCTTCCCCTGCTCTTACGGTGTCATACGCTACGTTCCAAATGTCACCCGATACCCTATATAGTGCACTACTTTTGACCAGGGCCTATAGGGAATAGGGTGCCATTTTGTACGCAGCCATAAGTGTCATAGCATCAGCTGCTCCCTCCTCTCATTTGTTCAGTTCAGGTTAGTCAGAAGTCTCTCCTTCTCTGCTCTCCGCCACCCCCAGCCGGGTCATAGTATCTCCTCCACCCCATGGGCAAAGATCATGACCAGGCCTGGCTCCAGGATCATGTCCTCCCCCATATGCTGGTTCTCACAGGCCATCACCACCACCGCCTGTTTCCCCGGGATACGCTTGGCCACGTAATTCTCATAGTAGCGCCGGTTCATCTGCCGCGTTTCCAGTGTGGCCAGGCCGGCGGGCCAGTTCCTCTCGTGGGCGTTCTCGATAAGGTCGTTGATGATGGAAGGCGGGCAGCCGCTGTCGATGAGCGAGCGCTTGATGACCGCCTGGAGGACGGCGTCCGGCGTTGAGATCATGCCGCCCCAGCGGGTGACGCGCGCCGGCTGGAGGGAGTTCACCCACCTAGGAGGAGAGGTAGAGGGGAGGATGAGAGGAGAGTTGGGATATTATGATGGTTATTATAATCATCATAATTCATGAATATGCCTCAAAAGTGGAAAGTGTTGCAGCATAGTAGAGGTCTGCGCGGGACTGATTTCTTCATCCACCTCCTGCAGCTTTTCATACCGCATTCTGCCTGCTCCCACTGGCTTTTTGTCCAACTCCCACCCACAAGAACTGGTCCCGAACCCGCCCGCAGTCACGCAAATGTTATTTTAGGCATATGTGACGCAGCTCGCTGAGCAGCCATGGTCCCAGCAATGTTGTGCCCTATAGGCAATCTCAAAATGTGCAAAAATAATCCAAGAAATAGGTTAAATTACCAAAGATTCTCAAGTGGTCCATTATATTAGGCTATCAGTATTAGGTACTGGGCTATATCAGCCACTAGGCTAGACGTAGTTTGAAAGAGTTGGAACGAGAACGGACACTTGCACTTTCTCTTAAACTACGTTTATTGTATAATATAGCCTACCTTAATAGGAGCGGGACGATTTGCAGGCAGAGACAAATATGGGTGATCAATATTTATTTACAGTCAATGTAGTAGGCCTAAACTATGGCTTAATCATATTTAGGAAGTACATTTCCTTGGAAAGATAAGTGCCACGTGCTGCTCTGCCCATGCATATAGCCTGCTCTATTTAATAGACCACACACGCACCTGATCTCGCACACCTAACTAGGAGAGGAGAGGTAAGCTACTGAACTTGAAGCAGCAAGAATGATGAGTGGACACTTGCACTTTCTCTTACATTTTGCATAGCCTATAGCCCACCTTCAGGAGCGGGACTATTTGCGGCATAGACCAATAAATGGATATTAATATTTAGGCTAATAAAAAGCGTAAGGTGCGCCTCCCGAGTGGGAGGAGTCACTACAGACCCGGGTTCGATCCCAGGCTGTGTCACAACCGGCCGTGACCGGGAGTCCCATAGGGTGGCGCACAATTGGCCCAGCATCGTCCGGGTTAGGGGAGGGTTTGGCCGGGGGGGTTTTACTTGGTTCATCGTGCTCTAGCGACTCCTTGTGGCGGGCCGGGCGCCTGCAGGCTGATTTCGGTCGTCAGTTGAACGGTGTTTCCTCCGACACATTGGTGCGGCTGGCTTCCGGGTTAAGCGGCGGGTGTTAAGGAGCGCGGTTTGGCGGGTCATGTTTCGGAGGACGCATGACTCAACCTTCGTCTCTCCCGAGCCCGTTGGGGAGTTGCAGCGATGAGACAAGATCGTAATTTGATCGCAATTGGATATCATGAAATTGGGGCGAAAAAGGCGGTAAAAAACAAACAGAATAAAAAGGGAAAGGTGCAACGTCGCGCCTTTTCCTTTTAAATTATAGCATTTTTTGGTTGCACCTTGACTCACGTTGGTTGAGCACCCTCCACTTCATTCCATTATCAATATTTATTTCTAGACACCGTAGCCTAATCATATTTATGTTAATTTCTTTGGAAAGGTTTTTTCTGCATCAAAAAGGGGCTTAGGTGGTGGGTGTGGTAGTGCCGGCTGAATATTAGATAACATTTTAGAGGCCCCCCACCTTGGCGGTGTCGACCTTGTTTAATTTTTTAAGCCAATTTCCTGCAATTCTACACATTTTGCCATGGAGCTGAGAGAAAATGTTGCAGTTTTAAAGCTAATTTCCTACAATTCTATGCATTTTGCCACGGCTAATGTTGTGCTCTTTTGCTCAAACAAAATCAGTACTGATAAATTCATTGTTTTTGTAATTTTCTCACACACAAAAATAAAATGGCAAAGAAATCCCTGTAACTGCGCTGTGCATCTCCACCCATTCATTTAATTGAGACCACACATACAGTGCCTTCAGAAAGTATTCATGACCCTTGACTTATTCCACATTTTGTAAACAGGATGCATGTTTTGGAATATTTTTATTCTGTACAGGCTTCCTTCTTTTCACTCTGTCAATTAGGTTAGTATTGTGGAGTAACTACAATTTTATTGATCCATCCTCAGTTTTCTATCACAGCCATTTAAAACAGTTACAGAGTTTAAGTCACCATTGTCCTCATGGTGAGATCCCTGAGCGGTTTCCTTCCTTTCCAGCAACTGAGTTAGGAAGGACACTTGTATCTTTGTAGTGACTGGGTGTATTGATATACCATCCAAACATGCTCAAAGGGATATTCAATGTCTGCATATATATATATATATATATATATATATATATATATATATATATATATATATATATATATATATATATATAAAATCTACCAATAGGTGCCCTTCTTTGGAGGCATTGGAAAACCTCCCTGGTCTTTGTGGCTGAATCGGTGTTTGAAATTCACTGCTCAACTGATAATTGTATGTTTGGGGTACAGAGTCATTCCAAAATCATGTTAAACACTATTATTCCATTCAGAGTGAGTCCATGCAACATATGTGACTTAAGCAAATTTTTACTCCTGAACTTATTTAGGCTTGCCATAACAAAGGGGTTGAATACTTATTGACTCAAGACATTTCAGCTATTCATTTTTAATTCATTTGTAAAATTTTCTAAAAACATAATTCCACTTTGACTTTATGGGGTATTGTGTGTAGGCCAGTGACACAAATTCTCAATTTAAACCATTTTAAATTCAGGCTGTAACAACACAATTTGGAAAAAGTCAAGGGGTGTGAATACTTTCTGAAGGTACTGTATAGGCTTATAAGCGCACTTGATCTTGAATGCCCAACTAGGAGAGGTAGCCTATAGGCTACTGAATTTGAAGCAGGGAATTGTGTGTGTGTGTGTTTGTGTGTGTGAATAGTGCGACAGAGGTGATTTTAATACAATAGATTGGCTAACGCATACAAAACAGAAAGACAACCGTTTCAAAAGTAGCCTTAATCTGCGGGACCCAAAAATATTTGAATCCCAAAGTTGTCTGTCTGACCGCCCGCAGCATGAAAAATGTTGACCGCGCCGCAATGATCTGTCGCCCTCTACAGCGTAGTAAGTTAAACTGTCTGATTGTGAAGTGTTCTGTGCAATTCTGTATTGCACCACAGTGCTTAATAATCCACTCACTCCAGGATCTCATTGTACTCAATGGTGTCCTCCAGGTTCTGCAGGTTGGGGTTGGCACCGCGGATGGCCCTCATGTACGCCTTCAATAGCTGGATGTCCCGTTTCTGGAGGCAGAAAGGAGACACCACAATGGGCTAGCAGACCACGCTGACGAAAACATCACACAGATCGACTAAGATGTACAGGCACTGACACACACACACACACACCAGTGAAAGCACACTTACTCATACATAAGCACGCACGGACACGCACAAATACAGACACACACAAACCTGCTCCGCTAGCTGGTGCTTGTGTTCAGCAGAGGCCTTCTCCAGGTCTGCGATCTTGCCCTGCTGTTGCTGCACCACGCTGCGCAGGTGTTTGATGCAGTTATGGCTGGACACCTCGTCTTTAGGCATCTCCAGACTGAGGGGGGAAGAGGGAGGACATAACAGCTCATCAGCAGCCTTTTAGCTCAGCCAACTCCCCCACAGCCCCAGTAAACTACAACCTTTAGCCAATACCCTGCACACACAGCCCTGTTGACCCACTAACCCAGAGCCAGTAGCATCACTCACCTACAGCCTACAGCAGAGTTTCCCAACCCAATTCTCACCCCCCTCTTGGGTTGTGCTCATACTCCCTCATATAGATGACGTTCAGTTTTTAACAGCTTTGCTTGCCTATATCATTTAAATAAATGATTAACAAAACATGCCCCAAAATAGAGCTTGGGGAACGCCTTTGTTGGAGCCAACCCCACTCACCCACAGCCCTGCTCGCACTGGACGGGCCTCTTGGGGTTGTGCTGGCAGTCCCTGAGGTGCGACTGCAGCTGGTCCAGACGTAGCACAGCAGCGCAGCCAAAGCCGGCGTTGTCGCAGGTGATTTGCAGCTTGGAGAGCATGTTGCGCATGATGCGGGGCACGGGGCGCAGGTGGGCCAGTGTCACCACGCTGCGGTCCACGGGGCATATCTGCTGCTGAGAGAACCACTGGGTGATGCAGGCATTGCAGAAGGCGTGCTCACAGTGAGGGGCCTAAGGGAGGGTGGAGGGGGGACACAAACAGGAAGAAAATGGAGAGCAAACGCTAAAGACCCGCTCCAGAATTTTTCTTCTTCTATATAAAACATAATATATGACCATTTTGATGTTAAAAACATGTTGACAGAAAGATACATTTTAATTCAAAGATCAAATTCTTGGAATGACAAGAGGCTGAGGGCACGATAAAAAAGCTAAAGCCATTTGCAGTGAAGGAGGGAGTACAGCAAGTATGGTTACATTTGGGGATAGCAGTTCTGCTGTGTGTGAACTCCTCATCAATGCAGGGGTGACGGTACTGATGACATCAGTAGATTACATTAGTGATGAGATCACTGAATGATGCTAAGCTAGCGACGGGCTGGCTAGCTTCTGTTGGCGACAATAGCCGTTCCCACCACAGTCCCACTACATTACACGCTTCCGAGTATATTACTCGCCAATGTTCAGTCTCTGGATTATAAAGTAGACGAGCTCAGGGCGAGGATCTCCTTCCAGAGAGATATCAGGGATTTTAACATACTCTGTTACACGGAAACATGGCTCTCTCGGGATATACTGTCCCCATCCATACAGCCAGCTGGGTTCTCAGTACATCATGCAGACAGGAATAAATAACTCTACGGGAAGAAGAAAGGTGGGGGTGTATGTTTCATGATTAACTACTCATGGTGTGATTGTGATAACATACAGAAACTCAAGTCCTTTTGTTCACCCGACCTAGAATACCTCAATCAAATGCAGACCATATTACCTCCCAAGAGAATTATCTTTGGTTATAGTCATAGCCGTGTATATTCCCCTTCAAGCCGATAGCACAACGGCCCTCAAGGAACTACACTGGACTTTGTGCAAACTAGAAACCACATATCCTGAGGACGCATTTATTGTAGCTGGGGATTTTAACAAAGAAAATTTGAGGGAAACGCTACCGAAGTTCTACCAACACATTGACTGTAGTACTAACTCTGGAAAAACATTGGACCACTGCTACTCAACTTTTAGAAATGCCTACAAGGCCCTCCTCCGCCCTCCCGTCGGAAAATCTGATCACAACTCCATTTTGCTCCTCCATTCCTATAGGCAGAAACTCAAAACAGGAAGTACAAGTGCTAAGGTCTATTCAACGCTGGTCTGACCAATCGGAATCCATGCTTCAAGATTGTGTTGATCACACGGACTGGGATATGTTCTTGGTAGCCTCTGAGAATAAGATCAACGAATACACGGATACGGTGACTGAGTTCATCAGGAAGTGTATAGGAGACGCTGTTCCCACTGTGACTATTAAAACCTACCCAAACCAGAAAACGTGGATAGATGGCAGCATTCGCGCAAAACTGAAAGCGCGAACCACCGGATTTAACCATGGCATGGTGACTGGGAATATGGCCGAATACGAACAGTGTAGTTATTCCCTCCGTAAGGCAATCAAACAGGCAAAACGTCAGTACAGAGACAAAGTGGAGTCACAATTCAACAGCTCAGACACGAGACGTTTGTGGTAGGGTCTACAGGCAATCACGGACTACAAAGGGAAAACCAGCCACGTCGGGGACACTGACATCTTGCTCCCGGACAAGGTAAACACCTTCTTCGCCCGCTTTGAGGGTAACACAGTGCCACCGACGCTGCCCGCTACCAAGGACTGTGGGCTCTCCTTCTCCGTGGACGACGTGAGTAAAACTCTCTAATGCCTTCCGGCCCAGACGGCATCCCTAGCCGTGTCCTCAGAGCATGCGCAGACCAGCTGGCTGGAGTGTTTACGGACATATTCAATCTCTCCCTATCCCAGTCTGCTGTCCCCACTTGCTTCAAGATGTCCACCATTGTTCCTGTACCCAAGAAAGCAAAGCTAACTGAACTAAATGATTATCACCCCGTAACACTCACTTCTGTCATCATGAAGTGCTTTGAGAGGCTAGTTAAGGATCATATCACCTCTACCTTACACCCTAGACCCACTTTAATTTGCATAGCGCCTCAATAGAGCCACAGATGATGCAATCGCCATCGCACTGCCCTATCCCATCTGGACAAGAGGAATACCTATGTAAGAATGCTATTCATTGACTATAGTTCAGCATTCAACACCACAGTACCCTCCAAGCTCATCATTAAGCTCGGGGCCATGGATCTGAACCCCGCCCTGTGCAACTGGGTCCTGGACTTCCTGACGGGCTGCCCCCCATGTGGTGAAGGTAGGAAACAACACATCCACTACGCTGATCCTCAACAGTGTGCGTGCTCAGCCCCCTCCTGTACTCCCATGACTGCGTGGCCACGTATGCCTCCAACTCAATCATCAAGTTTGCAGACGACACAACAGTAGTAGGCCTGATTACCAACAATGACGAGACAGCCTACAGGGAGGAGGTGAGGGCCCTGGGAGAGTGGTGCCAGGAAAATAACCTCTCACTCAACGTCAACAAAACAAAGGAGCTGATCGTGGACTTCAGGAAACAGCAGAGGGAGCACGCCCCTATCAACATCGACAGGACCGCAGTGGAGAAGGTGGAAAGCTTAAAGTTCCTCGGCGTACACATCACTGACGATCCAAAATGGTCCACCCACACAGACAGTCAATCAATCAATCAATTTTATTTTATATAGCCCTTCTTACATCAGCTAATATCTCGAAGTGCTGTACAGAAACCCAGCCTAAAACCCCAAACAGCTAGTAATGCAGGTGTAGAAGCACGGTGCACAGTGTGGCGAAGAAGGCGCAACAGCGCCTCTTCAACCTCAGGAGGCTGAAGAAATTTGGCTTGAGAGCATCCTGTCGGGCTGTATCACCGCCTGGTACAGCAACTGCACCGCCCGCAACCGCAGGGCTCTCCAGAGGGTGGTGCGGTCTGCCCAACGCATCACCAGGGGCAAACTACCTGCCCTCCAGGACATTTACAGCACCCGATGTCACAGGAAGGCCAAAAAGATCATCAAGGACATCAACCACCCGAGTCATGGCCGGTTCATCCCGCTATCATCCAGAAGGCGAGGTCAGTATAGGTGCATCAAAGCTGGGACCGAGAGACTGTTAACCATCAGACTGTTAACCTCTATGGGATCGGTGTCCCGTATACGGGACGGTTGAGCTAACGTGATTAGCATGACTGTTGTAAGTAACAGCAAACTTCCAGGACATAGACATGTCTTATATGGGCAGAAAGATTCAATTCTTGTTAATCTAACTGCACTGTCCAATTTACAGTAGCTATTACAGTGAAAAAATACATTCAGTAATCTTGCTCTGATTTGTCATCCTAAGGGTCCCAGAGATAAAATGTAGCATAGTTTTGTTTGATAAAATTCATTTTTATATTCAAATGTAGGAACTGTGTTCTACAGTTTGAACCCCTGCTGTCTCTGGCTCCACACCCACCCCGCCCGGCCATCTAAATGTGTGCAAGTTAGTGTATAACCTAATGATCCATCATGTATGACATTCCTGGGAGTGTGTAAACTTAAAAAAATGATATGCTAATACAAAATGTATGTCCTCTATAGTTATGTACTTGAAAATTTATCAATTCGGCACATTTGGGCAGACTTGATACAAAATAGTCCAGTATTGCAACGCTTCACTGGATCAATCTGAAACTTTGCACACACACTGCTCCCATCTAGTGGCCAAAATCTAAATTGCGCCTAAACTGCAATATTATATTTAAATTTTAGTCATTTAGCAGACGCTCTTATCCAGAGCGACTTACAGTTAGTGAGTGCATACATTTTCATACTGTGGCCTCTCTCTTGCATTTCAAAGATGATGGAACTAAAAAATTAATAGAAAACGCATATTTTTTGGTTTCATATTCTCCTACATTAATTTCAGATTTCCACAAACTTCAAAGTGTTTCCATTGAAATGGTATCAAGAATATGCATACCTTGCTTCAGATCCTGAGCTACAGGCAGTTAGATTTGGGTATGTAATTCTAGGCGACAATTTAAAAAAAGGGTCCAATCCTTAAGAGGTTAAATAGCCATCACTAGCCGGCTTCCACCTGGTTACGCAACCCTGCACCTTAGAGGCTGCTGCCCTATATATAGACTTGGAATCACTGGCCATTTTAATAATGGAACACTAGTCACATTAATCATGTTTACATATTGCTTTACTCATCTCATATGTATATACTGTATTGTATTCTACTGTATTTTAGTCAATGCCACTCCGACATTGCTCGATCTAATATTTATATATTTCTTAATTCCATTCTTTTACTTTTAGATGTGTGTATTGTTGTGAATTGTTAGATACTACTGCACTGTTGGAGCTAGGAACACAAGCATTTCGCTACATCCGCAATAACTTCTGCTAAATATGTGTTTGTGACCAATAAAATTGGATTTGAGTTCCTGGGTGTCAGGAAAAAAGCTCTCAGGGCTACAGCCGCCATTGGTAGCAATGGATCCCCCGGAGACCTTCTTTCCCTCTGTTTCCCATGCAGTCCCTGGGTGAGTCCGAAATGGCACCCTATTTCCTTTATAGTCCACTACTTTTGACCAGGGCCTTGATCAAATGTAGTGCACTATAGGGTACAATTTCAGACACAGTCCTAATCCTGATTCCTCCCACTACAGGATCGGTACATCCGAACATCACACCTGGTGATGGGTTCTATGTTGCAGTGCTGCTGATTCATACTGGGGCCCCAGAGGGAGTATAAATGATCACCACCCAACCCCCCCTACCCAGCCCATCCCAGCCCAGCCCTGGGACACTCCACACAGCAGCACTGACTCCAGCAAGGTCAGTGAGTGCAGCACAGCACACTGACTGGGACTAACACACCCTCATATGCACACCCAGAGGCTTGTATTTAGAGAGTTGAGCAAACTTTTGTAACTTTGAATAATATTCTAATTCTAGACAGTTACATAGCATTAAATATTCCCCGCTAACAATACTAAAGAAAAAAAACGTCCGCAACTCTGGTATGCTCCCATGGTGATTTAATCAGATGCCCCAAAAAAAATTTTGCGCTAACATGGTTGCCAGAAAGAATGTTGTGATGTCATGTAAATGCATCATCATGCAGAAACCTCAATGGCCCAAATCTCTAAATACATGGCTCTGTGCCCACCTAACCTCTGTTTATTCCACTCCCTCTCTCCCTCCCATTCTTCCAGTCTGGAAGATGTCAATGCTCTTAGTAGGGCATTGGAATTATACAGCTTTCACTCAGGAATACTTCTGAAAGTATTCACACCCCTTGACTTTTCCAAAATGTTGTTGTGTTACAGCCAAAATTTAAAATTGATTAAATTGAGATTGTGTGTCACTGGTCTACACACACACACAACACCCCATAATGTCAAAGTGGAATTATGTTTTAATTTTTTTAAACAAATTAATTAAAAATGAAGAGCTGAAATGTCTTGAGTCAATAAGTATTCAACCCCTTTGTTATGGCTTGCCTAATTAACTACAGTGGTACAATTCACATAAGTTGCATGGAGTCACTGTGTGCAATAATAGTGTTTAACATGATTTTTCAATAACTACCTCATCTCAGTACCAGATTGCAGTTTTACTTTAGTGCCTTATTTCAAACAGGATGCATGTTTCGGAATATTTTTATTCTGTACAAGCTTCCTTTTCACTCTGTCATTTAGTTTAGTATTGTGGAGTAACTACAATGTTGTTGATCCATCCTCAGTTCTCCTATTATAGCCATTAAACTCTGTAACTGTTTTAAAGTCACCATTGGCCTCATGGTGAAATCCCTGAGCGGTTTTCTTCCTCTCCGGCAACTGAGTTAGGAAGGACGCTTGTATCTTTGTAGTAACTGGGTGTATTGATACACAATCCAAAGTTTAATTAATAACTTCACCAGCCCATCTACCAATAGGTGCCCTTCTTTGCCAGGCATTGGACATTTTCCCTGGTCTTTGTGGTTGAATCTGTGTTTAGAATTCACTGCTCGACTGACAGACCTTACAGATAATTGTACGTGTGGGGTACAGAGATGAGGTAGTCATTCAAAAATCATATTAAACACCATTATTGCACACAGAGTGAGTCCATTAAACTTGTGACTTGCTAAGCAATTGTTTACTCCTGAACTTATTTAGGTTTGCCATAAAAAGGGGTTGAATACTTATTCACTCAAGACATCAGCTTTTCATTTTTTTATTATTGTTTGTAAACATTTCTAAAAATATAATTCCACTTTGACATTATGAGGTATTGTGTGTAGGTCGGTGACAAAAATAATCTCAATTTCATCCATTTTAAATTCAGGATGTAACAACAAATTGTGAAGGCACTGTATTATAGTGTACATACTATTTGTCCAGGCCAATGCAGGGGATGCCAGAGTAAGCAGCATACACAGCTGACTTCCTCCCTCTCTCCCTCTCTCTCATTATACTGTATGTGTGTGTCCACTGAAAGCCCTATGGCAGTTATGTCCACATTCCTTTACTGATGCCAGCACACTGCGCAAAGTCCTACGACAGCTGAGAATGCAAAGGCTACATTGGCTGGAAGTGACGCTGTACTGCAACACTACCTTCTTGCTGAATTAACCTACCAACGCATGAACACACACGTGCCCACAGACAGATGCAATCACACTCACAAAAATACTGCAAAACAAAGAACACTTAATATCACAGGAAATTGACCAAAACACACATTAAGAAATCCCTAGGCTGGACAAAGTGTTATGTACTATAAAAAGCACAAACCAGCAACTATTTACTCCTAGGGCAAACATGTAGGAAAACAATGCCATCCTCTGCAGGTCAATAGTGTCTATTTAAAGCCACTCACCTCATGTTTGGTTTCAGTTTGGGAGATACGTTTGCTATAATAGCATCCTTATGCTTCATTTACATTAACAGGACTAAGCATCCCCACTCACTTATTCTATCCCTAGTGCCTACACTACAAACATTAGGCACATTTACTAATCTTTAAAAAGAATGGACAGATTTTCATGCAGAGCTCATCTCTCCAAATTGCCTTCTTCCCTCACTCCTGTCTTCTCTCTCTCCCTCTCTCCCTCCCTCTCCTCTCTCTCGCTCTCTCTCTCTCTCTCTGTCTCTCTGTCCCTCCTGTCCTCTCCTCTCTTCTCTCTCTCTCCTGTCCTCTCCACTCTCCCCTTGCTGACACTGCATCTCTCTGAAAACCGATCGCCCTGTTAGCTCTCCTCCCTGTCCTTTCTCTCCCTCTCTCTGCCCATCTCCTTCCTGGCCATGATGGGGCTATTCTCATGTCTAATCGCTTTCACCTTTCACTAGCATTGAATCATCATCACTGGAGCTTCATCAGAGAATCAAATTACAAGTCCAGTGATATACCGTATACAGAAATACAAGAACAGTATAGCGGCAAGAGCACTGCGGAAAATATGATAATTAAGCAATAAAGCCAGAGGGGGTGTGGTATATGGCCAATATACTAAGGCTAAGGGCTGTTGGGCTAATTGCAGCATTACCGCAAAAATGGAAGAGGCAAGTGGAAGGGGGAGAAAGTAAGGAACTTGTCTGTCGGCTCTGAATTTGTGATAAATAAAATAAAAAGTATACCAGCTTAATTTAAGGACCAAAAAATTGATAGCTGTGCTATATCGATTGCAAAATATACTGAACAAAAATATAATAATAATAATAATAATAACGTGAAGTGTTGGTCCCATGTTTCATGAGATGAAATAAAAGATCCAAGAAATGTTCCATACACATAAAAAGCTTATTTCTCTCATATTTTTAACACAAAAAGTGAGCATTTCTCCTTTGCCAAGATAATCCATCCACCTGACAGGTGTGGCATATCAAGAAGCTGACTAAACAGCATGATCATTACACAGGTGCACCTTGTGCTGGGGACAATAAAAGGCCACTCTAAAATGTGCAGTTTTGTCACAGATGTCTCAAGTTTTGAGGGAGCGTGCAATTGGCATGCTTACTGCAGGAATGTCCACCAGAGCTGTTGCCAGAGAATTGAATGTTAATTTCTCTACCATAAATCGTTTTAGATAATTTGGCAGTACGTCCAACCGGCATCACAACCACAGACCACGTTTACCACACCAGCCCAGGACCTCCACACTGGCTTCTTCACCTGCGGGATCGTCTGAGACCAGCCACCCGGACAGCTGATGAAACTGAGGAGTATTTGTATGTAATAAAGCCCTTTTGTGGTAAAAAAAAATGTATTCTGATTGGCTGTTCATGGGCCTGGGAGGACATAGGTCCACCCACTGGGGAGCCAGGCCCACCCATGGCAGCGCCCTTACCCAGTCATGTGAAATCCATAGATTAGGGCCTTATGATTTTATTTCAATTGACTGATTTCCTTATATGAACTGTAACTCTATAAAATCGTTGAAATTGTTGCATTTTGCCTTTATATTTTTGTTCAGTTTAGATGGGAAGAGATTTTTGATGTACTGATTCCATGGAACATGGTTTATGAACTGATACGTTTTGAATACAGCTTCGTTTTGTGTAAGTTTTTAAATGTAAATTATAATAAAAAATTCCTAGCAACCAATATGATGTTATATATATGGGGGTTACAACCATCCCAGCCCTGCAGATTTTTCTGAGAAGACACAGAATCATTATATCATTTGTTTTGGTACTGTCCATATGTAGCTTGTTTTTGGTTGCAGGTTCAGGAATGGCTGAAGAATTGCAACATTTACCTGGAGCTAACTCTGCAAATAGCACTGCTGGGTGATTTAAAACGTCATAGTCAAATCAATCAATAATATAATAATACTCTTAGCAAACTCAGCAAAAAAAGAAACGTCCTCTCACTGTCAACTGCGTTTATTTTCCGCAAACTTAACATGTGTAAATATTTGTATGAACATAATAAGATTCAACAACAGACATAAACTGAACAAGTTCCACAGACATGTGACTAACAGAAATGGAATAATGTGTCCCTGAACAAAAGGGGGGGGTCAAAATCAAACGTAAACAGTCAGTACCTGGTGTGGCCACCAGCTGCATTAAGTACTGCAGTGCATCTCCTCCTCATGGACTGCACCAGATTTGCCAGTTATTGCGGTGAGATGTTACCCCACTATTCCACCAAGGCACCTGCAAATTCCCAGACATTTCTGGGGGGAATGGCCCTAGCCCTCACCCTCCGATCCAACAGGTCCCAGACGTGCTCAATGGGATTGAGATCCGTGCACTTCGCTGGCCATGGCAAAACACTGACATTCCTGTCTTGTAGGAAATCACGCACAGAACGAGCAGTATGGCTGGTGGCATTGTCATGCTGGATGGTCATGTCAGGATGAGCCTGCAGGAAGGGTACCACATGAGGGAGGAGGATGTCTTCCCTGTAACGCACAGCTTTGAGATTGCCTGCAATGACAACAAGCTCAGTCCGATGATGCTGTGACACACTGCCCCAGACCATGACGGACCCTCCACCTCCAAATCGATCCCGCTCCAGAGTACAGGCCTCGGTGTAACGCTCATTCCTTTGACGATAAACGCGAATCCGACCATCACCCCTGGTGAGACAAAACCGCGACTTGTCAGTGAAGAGCACGTTTTGCCAGTCCTGTCTGGTCCAGCAACGGTGGGTTTGTGTCCATAGGCGACGTTGTTGCCGGTGATGTCTGGTGAGGACCTGCCTTACAACAGGCCTACAAGCCCTCAGTCCAGCCTCTCTCAGCCTATTGCGGACAGTCTGAGCACTGATGGAGGGATTGTGCGTTCCTGGTGTAACTCAGGCAGTTGTTGTTGCCATCCTGTACCTGTCCCGCAGGTGTGATGCTCGGATGTACCGATCCTGTGCAGGTGTTGTTACACGTGGTCTGCCACTGCAAGGACGATCAGCTGTCCGTCCTGTCTCCCTGTAGCGCTGTCTTAGGCGTCTCACAGTACGGACATTGCAATTTATTGCCCCGGTCACATCTGCAGTCCTCATGCCTCCTTGCAGCATGCCTAAGGCACGTTCACGCAGATGAGCAGGGACCCTGGGCATCTTTCTTTTGGTGTTTTTCAGAGTCAGTAGAAAGACCTCTTTAGTGTCCTAAGTTTTCATAACTGTGACCTTAATTGCCTACCGTCTGTAAGCTGTTAGTGTCTTAACGACCTTTTCCACACGTGCATGTTCATTAATTGTTTATGGTTCATTGAACAAGCATGGGAAAGCATGTTGCAACCCTTTACAATGAAGATCTGTGAAGTTATTTGATTTTTACTAATCATCTTTGAAAGACAGGGTCCTGTGAAAGGGACGTTTCTTTTTTTGCTGAGTTTAAAAAGATTCAGAACTGTGAAATATCACCGCACAGTTAAAATATATGGTAAATAGACATTTAAACTGGATGGTGTTCAGAGACAGATGGGATGGGTTGAGGGTAGCTGAAGGATGGGACTAAAAACAAACAAAAATAACTATTGTAAAATATATTGTATCCGTAAAATGTATATAGCATGTACAGTGTAGTCGGAAAGTATTCAGACACCTTGACTTTTTTCCACATTATTAAGTTACAGCCTTTTTCTAAAACGGATTAAATTGTTTTTTTCCCCTCATCAATATTTTACATTTACATTTTAGTCATTTAGCAGATGCTCTTATCCAGAGCGACTTACAGGAGCAATTAGGGTTAAGTGCATTGCTCAAGGGCACCGACAGATTTTTCACCTAGTCGGCTCGGGGATTAGAACCAGCGACCTTTCGGTTACTGGCACAACGCTCTTAACCACTAAGCTACCTGCCGCTCTACACACAATACCCTATAATGACAAAGTGAAAACAAGTTTATAAATGTTTTGCAAATTAATAAAAAATAAAAAACAGAAATACCTTACTTAAATAAGTATTCAGACCCTTTGCTATGAGACTCGAAATTGAGCTCAGGTGCATCCTGTTTCCATTGATCATCCTTGAGATGTTTCTACAACTTGATTGGAGTCCACCTGTGTTAAATTCAATTGATTGGACATGATTTGGAAAGGCACAAACCTGTCTATATAAGGTCCCACAGTTGACAGTACATGTCAGAGCAAAAACCAAGCCATGAGGTCGAAGGAATTGTCCGTAAAGCTCCAAGACCGGATTGTGTTGAGGCACAGATCTGGGGAAGGGTACAAAAAAAATTCTGCAGCATTGAAGGTCCCCAAGAACACAGTGACCTCCATCATTCTTAAATGGAAGAAGTTTGGAACCACCAAGACACTTCCTAGAGCTGGCCGCCCGGCCAAACTGAGCAATCAGGGGGAGAAGGGCCTTGGTCAGGGAGGTGACCAAGAACCCGATGGTCACTCTGACAGAGCTCCAAAGTTCCTCTGTGAAAATGGGAGAAACTTCCAGAAGGACAACCATATCTGCAGCACTCCACCAATCTGAGTTGCCAGACGGAAGCCACTCCTCAGTAAAAAGCACGACAGCCCGCTTGGAGTTTGCCAAAAGGCACCTAAAGGACTCTCAGACCATGAGAAACAAGATTCTCTGGTCTGATGAAACCCAAGATTGAACTCTTTGGACTGAATGCCAAGCGTCACGTCTGGAGGAAACCTGGCACCATCCCTACGGTGAAGCATGGTGGTGGCAACATCATCCTGTGGGGATGTTTTTCAGCGGCAGGGAGACTAATCAGGATCGAGGGAAAGATGAACGGAGCAAAGTACAGAGAGATCCTTGATGAAAACCTGCTCCAGAGCCCTCAGGACCTCAGACTGTGGCGAAGGTTCACCTTCCAACAGGACAATGACCCTAAGCAAACAGCCAAGACAATGCAGGAGTGGCTTCGGGACAAGTCTCTGAATGTCCTTGAGTGGCCCAGCCAGAGCCTGGACTTGAACCCTATCGAACATCTCTGGAAAGACCTGAAAATAGCTGTGCAGCGACACTCCCCATCCAACCTGACAGAGCTTGAGAGGATCTGCAGGGATGAATGGGAGAAACTCCCCAAATACAGGTGTGCCAAGCTTGTAGCGTCATACCCAAGAAGACTCGAGGCTGTAATCGCTTCAACAAAGTACTGAGTAGACTGTAACTACCAATTGGATATCACAAAAATAAATGTTTGCAAATGTATTTAAAAAAATTTAAATGTGATATTTCAGTTTGGAGTTTTTTATACATTTCAAAACATTTTTTTCTTCTTCTAGTTTTTCTCCCCAATTCCGGGATATCCAATTAGTAGTTACAGTCTTGTCCCATCACTGCAACTCCCGTACTGACTCGGGAGAGGCGAAGGTCGAGAGCCATGCGTCCTCCGAAACACGACCCTGCCAAGCCGCTCAGCGTGCATGCGCCCGGCCCGCCACAGGAGTCGCTAGAGCGCGATGGAACAAGGACATCCCGGCCGGCCAAACCCTTCCCTAACCCGGACGACGCTGGGCCAGTTGCACGCCGCTTCATGGGTCTCCCGGTCGCAGCCTGGGATCGAACCCGGTTCTGTAGTGATGCCTCAAGCACTGCGATACAGTGCCTTAGACCGCTCCGCCACTCGGGAGGCCCAAAATTTGCTAACATTTCTAAAAACCTGGTTTTGCTTTGTCATTATGGGATATTGTGTGTAGATTGATGAGTGGAAAAAACGATTTATTCAATTTTAGAATAAGGCTGTAACGTAACGTAACAAAATGTGGAAAAAGGCAAGGGGTCTGAATACTTTCCGAATGCACTGTATATCATGGCTTTCAGCCAATCAACATCCAGGGCTCGAAAAATCCTGATTATAATCACCTTTTTAGCACTACAAAATAAATGGCCTGCACAGCCTATAAGACTGAAACATTTGAGAAGTTAGCAAAAACTTAGACTGAAATGGCACAGATGGTGTGTGGTCAATGAGTTGACAAGTACTGGATCCTTTTTCACTGAAATTGAACTGAATTTACAACACTGACAATTCCTGCTTTTTCAGTGACTGAAATGCAATCCAATGGCTGAAATGATGTGGAGAAGTGTACGTCACTGACCTGCACAGGCTCCTCTAGGACTCCACTGCAGATGGGGCACAGCAAGTCCTCATCCACTTCCCCCTGGAACCGGGTGACGTCGTAGCCCATGGCACATCACCGGAACCAACTACAACCTGCAACACAGGTGGGGCAATGGTTAGCTGACAGAGTACAGACAATCAAACATGACAACTTATGCCTACATGTCATGCATGTGCAGGATCAAAATCGACATGGAACATACTCACAGAAAAAAAGCTAATTACTCAACCATGTTTAAAATAATCAACCTATATGTGGCAGCAATTAGAGGATATGGCACTACAAATAATGGCTGTGTTACTTACAGTAAAAAGCTCTTCAACCAGTCTTGCATTACATAGTTAGCCTAGATTTGGTGTATTATCTTTTGCTCATTGCTAAAAAGGTGCAATATTGGACACCTGATACGCAGACAGGAATTATATTGCCTTTGTGTGCCTTTTCCTTTCCTTCCTGAAAAGGGAAGTGCTCCAATCCTCAGCTATAAAACATGGTAATATGAGTCTTTGCTGCTGGTGACCTTTTTGAACGCTGTGTGCTCTACGCACTGAAGCAGACCACCATAGTCCCTGTGCCCAAGGACACTAAGATAACCTGCCTAAATGACTACCGACCCGTAGCACTCACGTCTGTAGCCATGAAGTGCTTTGAAAGGCTGGTCATGGCTCACAACACCATTATCCCAGAAACCCTAGTCCCACTCCAATTTGCATACCGCCCCAACAGATCCACAGATGATGCAATCTCTATAGCACTCCACACTGCCCTTTCCCACCTGGACAAGAGGAACACCTACATGAGAATGCTATTCATTGACTACAGCTCAGCGTTCAACACCATAGTGCCCTCAAAGCTCATCACTAAGCTAAGGACCCTGGGACTAAACACCTCCCTCTGCAACTGGATCCTGGACTTCCTGACGGGCCGCCCCCAGGTGGTAAGGGTAGGTAACAACACATCTGCCACGCTGATCCTCAACACACTCAGGGGTGCGTGCTCAGTCCCCTCCTGTACTCCCTGTTCACCCATGACTGCATGGCCAGGCACGACTCAAACACCTTCATTAAGTTTGCCGATGACACAACAGTGGTAGGCCTGATCACCGACAACGATGAGACAGCCTATAGGGAGGAGGTCAGAGACCTGGCCGTGTGGTGCCAGGATAACAACCTCTCCCTCAACGTGATCAAGACAAAAGGAGATGATTGTGGACTACAGGAAAAAAAAGAGGACTGAGCACGCCCCCATTCTCATCGATGGGGCTGTAGTGGAACAGGTTGAGAGCTTCAAGTTCCTTGGTGTCCACATCACCAACGAACTATCATGGTCCAAACACACCACGACAGTCGTGAAGAGGGCACGACAAAGCCTATTCCCCCTCAGGAGACTGAAAACATTTGGCATGGGTCCTCAGATCCTCAAAAAGTTATACAGCTGCACCATCGAGAGCATCCTGACTGGTTGCATCACCGCCTGGTATGGCAACTGCTCGGCCTCCGACTGCAAGGCACTACAGAGGGTAGTACGTACGGCCCAGTACATCACTGGGGCCAAGCTTCCTGCCATCCAGGACCTCTATACCAGGCGGTGTCAGAGGAAGGCCCTCAAAATTGTCAAAGACCCCAGCCACCCTAGTCATAGACTGTTCTCTCTGTTACCGCACGGCAAGCGGTACCGGAGCGTCAAGTCTAGGTCCAAAAGGCTTCTGAACAGCTTCTACCCCAAGCCATAAATCTCCTGAACAGCTAATCATGGCTACCCGGACAATTTGCACTGCCCCCCACCACCACACCCACCCCGTCCCCCTTTTTTACTCTGCTGCTACTCTGTTTATTATTTATGCTTAGTCACTTTAACTCTACCCACATGTACATATTACCTCAATTACCTTGACTAGCCGGTGCCCCCGCACATTGACTCTGCACCGGTACCCCCCTGTATATAGCCTCCCTACTGTTATTTTATTTACTGCTGCTCTTTAGTTATTTGCTTTAATTTTTTTTGCTTAACACTTTTTTATTTGTTTTACTTTGCATTGTTGGTTAAGGGCTTGTAAGTAAGCATTTCACTGTAATGTCTACACCCGTTGTATTCAGCGCATGTGGCAAATACAATTTGATTTGATTTGAAGTAAGGTCTGAATAAGCGAATACATTGCCTATTCAGCACAGTGTGGAAAGAACTACAATGAGCATTCTACACCACGTTACAAAAACAGGCATGTACTGCAATGGCATTGATGACCTTTTTAACAGTTTAAACTAGAGTGATGACTAGGGCTGTGGCGGTCATGAAATTGTGTCAGCCGGTGATCGTCAAGCAAATAACTGTCGGACTCACGGTAATTGACCGTTAATGACCATAAACACATTTAGCATCTCCTGGCATCCACACATAGCCTACAAGCCACTGATGCAGACCTTTTTAAAAAGTCTAATAAATCCATGTAATATAGCCTACACCTTCACAATAAATCCATTATTTATTTTAGACAGGTCTAAAGAAGCATGATATGAAGAAAATGTAGTCTATTTCAGAAGAACAGAATAGCATACTCTGAGTTGTCCTTATGTTAGGTCCTGATATGGCTATGCCAAATGGCTGTGGGCTACACTAGTTCATTTAGCAGACAAGATTTGCTCAGAATTCCGTGGCATTATTTTATAGTATGAAGAATACAATTGAACAAAGCTGAATAAAATAGAAAGGATATTTTCTCCAAACTATTTGAGGGAGTGCACACATGCAGCTATTCTGTGTTGAGCGATTAACAAATAAATAGGTATTCCTATATGCTTAATTTAGAGTTATTAATGTAACTTAAGTTGTTCTACAAACATTGGGCTATATGTTTTGATTTTTAATACATTGTAAGGCTGCCTGATGCGACTATAATGATGATTTGAAAAAAGTATCTTGAAAGGCATGAGCTCTGCTTTGTTTATTGTGCAGGCTGTACACACTTCATCAGTCTCTCATTCACAATTTGACAAGCACTTGATAATGCCTCGAATTTCACGGAGGCATCCCCTTTGTGGCCGTAATGCACCCTAAAAAAATCCATGCCTTTTGCGGTAAGTGGCCGTTGTGCCCTTCTCCCATCACGTGATTGGGTCTCTCTCACAGGCTACAAGAGACGACAGACACATCGGGGACGCAACTGCGCATGTCCTTATCCAATTTGAGGTGCATATTGAAGATATTGGAAGAACTGTCCACATTTACTTTGTCAGCCAACAAGATGAGCAGGCCTAACGAACAGCAAAAGCACTAGCCTATGTCAATCAACTATCCCCCATAGTACAAAGGTCAACCTATTCTATTCAATAAATAAATATTCCAAACATAGTCTGGGACAGTTGTGGGATGCAATAGATCCCAAATTAATACAACCACTAGCATCAAAAACAACTTTTTAACGCAATGTGGCTGACGCAACAGATCAGAACATTTAGGCTATTTCTTCACATTATAAGCGCAGCAATGCACACATGGCAGTAGGCTATAAGCATGAATGTTACATTAGCTGGAAAACACCATTATTAAAAGTGACAGTAAATGCGATTATGCATGTAATGCTTTTATTATACAGGTGCATTTTCATGGTGAAAATTATCTTCCCCAAACTTGAAACTCACACGCTGCTTATGTATGCCAGTTAGGCTCTAAACCCCTTGTAAAGCGGCTTAAATGTGCTTAATTTTAAGAAGTTATTTGGCCACTTTAGTTGTGATACAACCTTATCAAAACATATAGGCCTATGGGCTAGGCTACATGAGGTGTGCGACTATGATTCAAAAGAGTCACACAAAAAAAAGGCAGTTTCTTATGCTGGGCAACATTCACAAGTGATAATATATAATTCACAAGTGATAGGCTAATATTGTCACCCATTAGACTATTCTTGATTTAATCTCGTCTTTACATATACTAAATAATACAGTTGAAGTCGGAAGTTTACATACACCTTCGCCAAAAACATTTAAACTCAGTTTTTCACAATTCCTGACATTTAATCCTAGTAAAGATTCCCTGTCTTAGGTCAGTTAGGATCACCACTTTATTTTAAGAATGTGAAATGTCAAAATAATAGTAGAGAGAATGATTTATTTCAGCTTTTATTTCTTTCATCACATTCCCAGTTGGTCAGAAGATTACATACACTCAATTAGAATTTGGAAGCATTGCCTTTAAATTGTTTAACTTGGGTCAAACGCGTCGGGTAGCCTTCCACAAGTTTGTTAACAAGACATTTGTGGAGTGGTTGAAAAACAAGTTTTAATGACTCCAACCTAAGTGTATGTAAACTTCCGACTTCAACTGTATATGTGTGAAATTTGTTTTGATTTAGAATGGACCATTATCATGCACCTGTCTCGAAACAGGGGCAGCGGGAAAAAATACATCATTTATGCACTTAAATAGCGAATGGAGGACACTTTTCCCGTGGTTGATTTTCATGCCAGCCAGGTAGGCTATAATCCAGTTGTAAATATAAACAATGTGCTTAATATTAGGAAAGTTGAGAAATAAATATAGTAGCCCTAGCCTATAGAAAGCCAATGGGATCCTCGTCTTTTTAGTAGAGGCCATCACTCTGTTTTCTCACGCAATTGCATAGCCTATAGAAATGTTACACAACATGAGCTCATGGGCTCTAATGAAGTGTTTGATTAGATTTTCGAACACAATTGCATTGACGTCAGAGTGATTAGAGGGACAATAGAGTGCGGAGTACCAGGCAGTTAGCAATTTTGGCAGGCTACTAATGACCATCAGCAGCATCAGAGCTTGGAGAAGCTTTATTACCGTGACTAAATGACTCATGACTGCCGGTGTGGCGGTAATACGGTCACCGCAACAGCCCTAGTGATGACTTCAATATAAAAATCAGCCCACTTAGATGAGACGTCTTTCAGAAATACAAGCAAAGAGCTTGTCATAAATTAACACAATCTACAGCACACCCTCTCTCGGAGGTGATTTCATTTTGAGATAGCCATCTTGTTTATCAAGTGTCAAGACTAGTTATACAAGACACTTACCCACTACAGTGCAAGTGGGTT